AAAAGCCGAAGTTAATCTCAAATCTGCACATGGCTGAACAGACTGGGGTAAGTTGGAGGGGTTTCAGGTTGGCCTGGTGCCTGCCCAAGCAGAGTCCTCAGCAGCTGCTTGTTTCCACAATCTAAAATCACCACCATACCCCTGGCCTAACGCCATAATCTCAGGAGGGACCTCACCAAGATATAATCTGCTAAAAATTTTGGTGTGCAGATTTTGTAACTGAAATCTCCAGGCTTTCTCAGGGTTGGGATTGGCTAACTTTCCCCACCTTCCTATAGTTCTGGAAGCCTCTGCAGCCACATCCATACCCCAAAGCTATCACCCGGTTAATAAGCTACTCCAGCCTTAACTTCCCTATAAAAATACCAAATGCCTTAAACAAACACCATGACCTCTTAGCATCTGAATTGCAAACCATAGTGCACAAAAAAAGGAAAAGGAGCGAGAGCAAGAAGGAAAGTGCCTCCCACAGAAGGAGGCTGGGGGTGGGGAGATGGGGTGTGGGGGGGTGGTAGGGAAACAGGGGACACTGGTGGTGGGAAATGTACACTAGTGGAGGGATGCGCGCTGGATCATTGTATGACTGAAACCCAATTATGAACAGCTTTGTAATGGTCTATCTCACGAATATTCAATCTTTAAAAAATTTTTAAAAAGGAAAATAACTTTAAAGTTGTGGCTTGGGGCTGGAGCAATAGCACAACGGGTAGGGCGTTTGCCTTGCATGCGGCCAACCCAGGTTCGATTCCCAGCAACCCATATGGTCCTCCGAGCACCGCCAGGAGTGATTCCTGAGTGCAAAGCCAGGAGTAACCCCTGAGCATCGCCAGGTGTAACCCGAAAAGCAAAAAATAAATAAATAAAATAAAATAAAATAAAAAGTTGTGGCTTGTTCGAAAGTAGACAAAGGGTTTGAATGGTAAATAAAGAAAACGGTATTCACAAATCTCTCTCCAAAGATGGAACATTTTTATTGAGATTTAAAGAATGAAAATCAAGCTAATAAAAGTGGAGTACAATAAGATTTTCTTTACAGGTTAGTAAGGTTGTGTTTAATGGGAACTGAAACTAAACTAGTAAAGTTCAAGGTGGTGAGCAAAGAAGATTATTAGGATTAGGTCGAATAAGTAGGCAGGCTGGTGTAGGACATCATACAGAGGGCATCTGTAAGGGTCACATGGAAGCATCCAGAACAACAGTGTTTTTAACCTTTTTCTGACCATGGTCCCTTACTGACCTGATTTCTTTCCTTTGGACCCCCTATCCTATAGATTGCCATTGACTGCCCATTTACACAACTTTCACTGGGGAGCCCTTTGAAATATCCTGGGGCCCATAGGGAAACACATGACCCCTTCTGCCAGTTTATTCCTATGGACCAGCACCTGTCCATGAACCAGCAATTACAACCAAAGCTGTAGTTGAATGGTTTTCAGTCTTTTCCACACTTGCAGAGCTGCACTAATGTGAAGACTTGCTGCTGAGAACCATTGCTCTAGAGAACTAAACTGGAGAGTGACAAAATGCTGGCTAGTTTGTTAATTTTTCTTTGTTTTTTGTCTTGAAGTCTCACCCAATGGCGCTAAGGACTACTCCCAGCTCTGTGCTGAGGAGTTGCTCATGGTAGCGCTGTGAGACCACATAGTTTCACAGCACAGATTGAACTCGACCTTCCACATATAAAGCATGAACTTAGCCCTTTGAACTATCATTCCAACCTTCTTTTTGTTTGAGTGAGGTTTTGTTTGGCTTTTGGTGGGGAGGTATCGGTAGGGCACACTTGGCTGTGCTCAGGGGAGCATTATTGGCAGGACTTAAGGGACTATTTGCGCTGTCAGGGATTGAACCTGGGTCAGCCACATGCAAGGCAAGTGCCCTGCCTGCTGTTCAATCTCTCATCAGAAAATCAAGAACCTTTGAATCAGCTTAACTAAAGAGTTGAAGGACTTATACAGAGAAAACTACAAAACACTACTTCAAGAAATAAGAGGACACAAGGAGATGGAAGACACATTCACTGTTCATGGACTGGAAGGATTGACATCACAAAAATGGCAATAGTTCCCAAAGTTTATACAGATTCAAGGCAGTCTCTACAAGGATGCCCATGGCACTTTTCAAACAAATCTATTAAATACTCCTGAAATTCATATGGAATAATAAATTTTCATGAATAGTTAAAGCAATTCTTGGGAAAAAGAAGATGGGAGGGGATCACCTTCCCCAACTTCAAATTGTGTTACAAAGCTCTAGTATTAAGACAGTCTGGTGTTTGAATAAAGACAGATCTTCAGATCAATGTAATAGACTTGAATGTCCTAACAGATATAAAAATATGATCATTTAATCTCTAATAAAGGAGCAAGAAATATGAAGTGGCACAAGGAAAGCATCTTCAACAAGTGGTATTGGGAAAACTGGGCAGCTACATCAATAAAAGACCCCTCAGATCTCTATCTAGTGCCATGCATGAAAGTCAGATCAAAATGGATTAGAAATGTTAATATCAGAATTAATCCATAAGGTACATAGAGGAAAACATAGGCAGAACGCTCCATGACATTGAAATTAAAGTCATTTTCCTCCTCCTCCTCCTCCTCCCTCCTCCTCCTCCTCCTCTTGCTGCAGTTTGGGTCACACTGCGGTTACTCCTGGCTCTGTACTCAGGAATTCCTTCTGGTGGTGCTCAGGGGACCATATGTGGGATGCTGGGGATCGAACTTGGACTGGCCATGTGCAAGGCAAACGCCCTACCTGCTATACTATTGTTCCTTCCCTAAAGTCATTTTTAAACATGAAACACCACTGACCCAGTAAACAGAAGTGACGATAAACAAATGGGACTACAGTAGACAAAGAAGCTTCTGCACCTCACTGAAAACAAACTATGGACCAAACATGATGGCCACTAAGTAAATGTATTGCAAACCAAACCATAACACCCAAAAGGGAAGAGAGAGTAAGAGGGAATGTGCCTGCCACGGGGGGGAGGGGGTCGGCAGGGGAAGGGGTGGTGGTGGTGGGAGGTATACTGGGAACATTGCTGGTAGAGAACGGACACGGGTGGAAGGATGGGTACTCGAACACTGTATGATTGAAATGTAGTCACACAATTTTATAAGTCTGTAACTGTACCTCATGATGATTCATTAAAATAAAAAATTTTAAAAATAAAGAAGCTTCGGGGCTGGAGCGATAGCACAGCGGGTAGGGCATTTGCCTTGCACACAGCCAACATGGCCGACCCAGGTTCGATTCCCAGCATCCCATATGGTCCCCCGAGCACCACCAGGAGTGATTCCTGAGTGCATGAACCAGGAGTAACCCCTGAGCATCGCCGGGTGTGACCCAAAAAGCAAAAATAAATAAATAAATAAATAATAAAGAAGCTTCTCCACCTCAAAGGAAACAGTGACTAAGATACAAAGATAGTCTCTACAGTTTGGGAAAAATTACTTACCCAGTACCCATCTGATGAGAGTTAATATCAAAGATATATAAGGCACTGGTAGAACTTTACAAGGAAAAAATCCAACCCCATCAAAAACTGGGGAGAGAAATCAATAGAAATTTCCTCAAAGAAATACAAATAGCAAAAAAAAAAAAAGGAAAAATGCTCTATATAACTAATCATTAGGGAGATGCAAGTGAAAACAAAAATGAGATATCATTTCATACCACTGAGACTGGCACACATCAAGAAGAACAGGAACAACCAATGCAACCAATGTGCAAATGTGGAGAGTAAGGAATTTTTATTCATTGTTGGTAGTAATGTGGTCCAGCCTTACTAGAAAATTATATGGGCATTCCTCAGAAAAATTAAAAATTGAGTCTCCATATGATCCAGCTATACCACTCCTGGTAATATACCCTACGGGCCAAAAAACATACCGCAGAGATGTCATCTGCATTTTTATGCTCATTGCAACACTATTTACAATAGCCAGAATCTGGAAATAACCATAGTGCCTGAGAGCAGATGGGTGAATAAGAAACTATGGTGCATACATGGAATACTATTCCACCTCCAGGAAAAATGTTATAAAAGTTGCTTACAAATGGATGAACATGGAGAGAATCATGCTGAGATGAGTTAGAGGGAGAGGGACAGATACAGACTTATTGCACTCATTTGTGGAATATTAAAAAATTGTATGAAACTAATACTCAAGGACTGTGGAAACAGGGATCAGGAGGACTGGTTCACAGTTGGAAGCTTGACACAAGTTGGGGTGGGAGAGAGGGCAGTTAGGCCAGAGGAGGGACCACCATGGTCGATGGTAGTTGGACTTGATCACTCTGGACAACAAAAGAGTGCTGATAATAGGTAAAAGGAGATACATGATAACTTTTCAAATCTGTATTGCAAACCATACCACGCAAAAGAAAATAGAGGGAGGGAGGAAGGGAGAGAGAGAAAAAGAGGGGAGAGAGACAGAGAGACAGAGACAGGAATATGCCATAGAGATTGGCTGGGGCGGGGATGTGGAGGGGTGGGAGGTGAAGATCAGAAAACTGGGGACACCAGTCGTGGGGAACGTATATTGGTAAAGGGTCGGGTGTTAGAACATTGTATGTCTGAAACCCAATCATGAATAATTTTATAACTGTACATATCAACGATGATATATACATCAACAAAATTCAGTTAAAAAACTACGAGAATGCAATTTGGTCTATGTAGCTCTTTGCTTTATAGCAGAACTTAAGACAGAATTACAAGAACAGAAAAGAAAGTGCCTATTCCTACAAAGAAGCCAGAAGTCACGCGCCCGCAACGTAAATAAGCAAAGGCACGCAGGCGCAGAACTAAGGGAGGCCGGCCCATGCAGGCGCCCTCCCCCAGAGGGGGCGGGGAAAGGGCGGAACTTCCGGGCGACTGGGGCGAGTATCTGTCTTCCCATTGGCTGAGAAGACTCACGGGGCGGGGTTGCGCGATCACCTGTCAGGAACCGGAAGCGGGGTTATAAAGCTGAGGAAGCTGAGCCCTGCGTCTCGTTTTTCCTTCTCACTGCTGCCCGTTGCTTAGGCCGTGACTCGAGCCGGTTGCCCGCTCGCCTACCGTCCCTTTCGCTATGGCCCTCAGCGATGCTGACGTGCAAAAGCAGGTGAGGGGCCGGGATGGGGTCTTTGAGAGCCGCGGTGCCCCTCCTGGGTGGGGCGCTGGAGCCCTGCGCGGGGGGAGCGAGGCCTTGGGCGGCCCAGAGGCGACTCGCAGCGTCCAGTTCCTCAAACCCTGGGTCCTGAGGAGCTGTGCAGAAGGGACACTCGCTGAGCTCCGGGCGTTGCTGCTCGGATCCTGCGCGTTTCTAGCTGGTGGCGTGCCGTCCCCTTGAATGTCCTGATTCCAATCGTGACCGCCCCTGTGTCCCCAGAATACTTGCTGTGCCACCGAGAGTATCTCGCCCGCAGGGCAAAGCCTGGCAAGTTCCCCGGGGCGTATTCGATCTGCCAAACACAGTAACAACAGGTCTCACAATGGAGATGTTACTGGGGCCCCCTCGAGCAAATCGGTGAACAACGGGAGGCCAGTGCAGTGCAGTGCAGTGCTATACTTGCTGTGCGTGGTGGACCCGAGAGCTGAAAACAGGTTTGTCAGGAATGTCCCTCCACTCTGGAGCACTTGCCTCTGTTGTGTGAGGCCTTGGATTCGATTCCCAGCACGCAGAAAACAAGAAGGATCCAAGAAGATCTGCATTTGGGTCCGGCTCATGCCTTGCACGGCGGGCCTGCACTTCGATTCCTGGCACCTCAGGGGCTTCCTAACACCGTGACTTGGGCCCGCCTGGTTGCCAGGACCACAGGCAAGTCTCAGGATGTGCCCCTAGCCAGCAGACACCCCCCCACCCCGGGCGAAAGAAAAGAAAACAACGCGTTTGAAATGTGAATTGCTCTTCACTTGATTTTTACGCCTGAGGTTTGTTTCGGTTGAGGGCCACACCCAGTGATGCGCAGGAATATTTTCTAGTTCTTTTTTTTTTTCCTTTTGGGTCACACCCGGTGATGCTCAGGGGTTACTTCAGGCTCTGCGCTCAGGAATCACTCCTGGCCGTGCTCTGGGACCCTATGAGATGCCCCGGGATTGAACCGGGTTAGCTGCATGCAAAATTGGCCGGCCCTATCTTCTGGTTCTGCACTCAGGAAATCACTCCTAGCAGGCTTGGGCCACCAAATGGGATGCGGGGGGCTCCAACCCGGGTGGGCTGCCTGCAAAGCAAATGCTCGGCCCCGTTAAGGTGATCCTGAGGTTTTACTATCTGAAAGAATGGTAAGGTGAGAGTGCTGCCACTGTGTTCTTTTGCAGTTATTCAAGCATTTGAGGATGTTAATTATGGCAGGAGCAGCCTCTGAATTCAAATGGCTGCTCTCCTCCTAGTCTCTAGGTTAGTTAACATTCTTCATTTATTAAGTAAATATGCTCATTGTGAGAAGATACTAATTATTTTGGGGGGTGCCAGGGGTGATTAGTCCTGACTGCACTCGGAATTACTCCTGGCGGTGCCCGGGGAACCTTGTGAGACACTGGGGTTGGGGACCGAACCCCAGTTTTAATTCTAAGGCGATAGAACAAGAAGGATACTAATTCTAAGGAGAATGTGAAATTCTCCAGAGGGAAACAGTGAGGTCAAAAGTAAAGCAAATTTGTGCCCAAAGGGTGGACATGAACAAGCCCAGGGTGAAATGCTGTAGATGTGAGGGTGTACCCCCAAGTAGAGCACTGGAGATAAATATTTAGCAGATGCGCTCCTTTAAAAAACAGTATTGGGGGCTGGAGCAATAGCACAGCGGGTAGGGCGTTTGCCTTGCACGCGGCCAACCCCGGTTCGATTTCCAGCATTCCGTATGGTCCCCCAAGCACCACCAGGAGTAATACCTGAGTGCATGAGCCAGGAGTAACCTCTGTGCATCGCCGGGTGTGACCCAAAAAAGCAAAAAAAAAAAACCAAAACACAATAATATTTATAAACCTCAATTCCTAACAGTACTTGGTACAAAGTAGAGGAGTCAAGGTTCATGGAAAAAATTGCTATGACACTCATGATCCAGGATCAATTTTGCATATATATGGGAAACTAGGGTTTTTTGGGGGATCTTTTTTCCGGGGGAGGTAGTTTGGGCCACTACCAGCTGTGCCCATGATTAAACTGGGGTCTCTTTTTGTTTGTTTGCCTTCTTCGGGCTCTTCACTTAGGAAGCACTCCTGGCAGGGCTTTGGGGTGCCAGGTATGGAACCTAGGTCTTCTGCATATGAGGCGTGGAAGGTCCTACCTGCGGTACGACACTCCCACCGCAAACTGGGGTCAGCTACATGCCAAACTCCTTACCCTCTGCACACTTTTATCTGGCCCTGGGATACTAATTTGTTTGGTCGCTTTTAATCTGCCCTATCTTCTCTTTGTTGTCTTTAGAAATGTTACGTAAAATTTTCCCAGCAGAAACCTGGACTTGAAAAATTTCCATTTGTCCTGCAGATATTCCTACACTGGAAGTTTGCATTTAGTAGTCTAACATGAGCAGGTTTCTCAGAGAAGGAAGCTTCAGCTGAAACTTAAATCTCTACATGATTTAGAGCAGGGGTTTTGTGGCTCCGAATGGGTCCCCAGGATAGTCTAAAGGGGCCCCAGGAGAAAATCATGTAAACGAGGGAGGCACAGCACAAGATTAAGGGGGCATACAGTAGGATGAGGATTACTGGAAAAAACAAGGTCAGAAGGAGAACTGTTGGGGAAAGGTTGAGAAACACTGGTTTAGAGAACTAAGTGTACTTGGGTTTTTTGTTTTGTTGTTTGTTTGTTTGTTTTGGGGCCACAACACTTGGTGATGCTTTCGGGTTACTCCTAGCTCTGCCCTCAGGAATCACTCCTCCCCATGGGGGACTATATGGGATGTTGGGGATTGAACCCGGTTGGCTGCTTGCAAGGCAAGTGCCTGCCTGCTGTACTATTGCTCCAGTCCCAGTTTGCTTCTAAGTTCTAGGAAAATTCTCTGACTAAAGCACACTCAACAGCTTGTTAGTTTTCTTAGATGAGTAATCAGATGTTTTTTCCTTGGATAGTTCCATTTTCATGAGAAGAGACCTTTTGTTTTATTTTTAACCCAAGATGAGTGGAGTTCTTGGACTGATCACGAAAGGGAAGTAGGATAACAAAAATAGCATCCACAGAGCAGTTTAAGAACTCTCGCAGTATTGACGCTTGCCTTATATGCAGCTGACCCAGGTTCTATCCTCCGCATCTCAGACGGAGCCCTGAGCACAGAGCCACAAGTAAGTCCTGAGCGCTGCCTGGTGTGACCCAAAACCAAACCAAAACAAAAGATTTATTCTAGGCTGGGAAGGTTGCTCAGTGGTAGAATACATGACTTATATGTGGGAGGCCCTGTATTTGATCCCAGGTACCACAAAACAAAATCAGTCTTAAACTATTCTTATAAAACAATAGTGATTTTTTTTTTTCTTTTTGGGTCACATCTGGAGATGCCCAGGGGTTACTCAAGGCTCTGCACTCAGGAATCACTTCTGGCGGTTCTCAGGGACCATATGGGATGTCGAGGATTGAAACCAGGTCGATCGCATGCACAACTGGTGGTGCTGGGGAAGTAGAGGTGTCTCTCCCAGTGTGGTGCTCATGGGTCACCTGGTAGTACTCTAGGGACCAAGCATCCAACCCTGGACCTCCTGTACACAGTGTATGTTCTTAGCTCGTTGAGCCATTATCTCTCTGGCCCCAGAACAATGAATTTCTAAAAAATATATTTCTGGGACTGAAGAGATATTTAAAGCAGGTAAGCACTAGCTTTTCATGTAGCTGATCTGGGTTCAATAAGTGGTCTCCTGAGCACTGATAGGAGTGATCCCTGTGTATAGAGCCAGGAGTATATATTTGTAGAACATTGTGTTTTATTAACTATTCTTAGCAGTATCTAGGATAATGGCTATAGGTGTTTATTTTGGGGGCCTGGGGGCCACATACGGCAGTGCTCAGGGTTACTCCTGGCCTTGCTTGGGGACCATATGTGGTGCCAGGTCTTGGCTGTGTGGTAGGCAGGCACCTAACACCCGTACTCTCTCTCAACTCATAGTAGGTGTTTTTGTGTTTTGTTTTGGTTTGGTTTGGTTTTTTGGGTCACACCTAGAGATGCACAGGGGTTACTCCTGGTTCATGCGCTCAGGAATCACTCCTGACGGTGCTCGGGGACCATATGGGATGCTGGGAATCGAACCCGGGTCGGCCGCGTGTAAGGCAAACGCCCTACCCGCTGTGCTATTGCTCCAGCCCCATAGTAGGTGTTTAATGAAGCCTTTATTCCCTGATTCCTTCCCCAATTTATTAAAATATTTGCATATATTTTTGGTTTTGAGGGGTGTGTGACCAGTAGGACTGTTCTCAGGCACGACGATGGGATGCACTTTTGGCAGTGCTGGGGAGACCCTAGTGCAAAGAATTCACTCCAGCCCTTTGATCCATCTCCCCAGTCCTAGATATATAGTGACTTAATTCACTATATATCAGATTTGGAGAGGAATCTGACTCTAAAAACTTAATTACTGAGTTATTAGGAAGAAAATCTTTTTAAAGGTCAGAGTTTTCTGCCTTAGGGGTGGAGTTATGTGTCCTTAAGGGATTGACTGTCCTTAAGGAATCTCTTATAGAGAACAGTTGTGTTGATAGCAAATAGAGTTCTGACCTGAGTTAAAATTAGTGCTTTTTGCTCCAGGCTGTATCATCTAGTCAAATCTGGTAGCAAAAGGTCTAGTTAGTGATAAAGTAGGTAATGCAGGTTTGAGTCAGGGTTTTCCAGTGAAGGCCAGAAGTTCTGTAGCATTTATAAATACCTGTTTTGGTTACTGTATTTAGTTTAGGGATAAACTCCTTTTAAAATTCCAGCCCGGAGGCCTGAGAGATAGTCTAGAGGGCAAGGCATTTGCCTTGCTCATTCATCCAGGTTCCATCTCCTGCATTCCATATGGTTCCCAGACCCCACCAGAAGTGGGAGTGAAACCTCACACAATGGCTCCCTGAGTGCAGAACCATGACTCCGGAATGCCCCCGGTGTTGCTTCAAAACTGAACAAAAAAGAATGGCAAAATTTGGGGGCTGGAGCGACAGTACATTGGGTAAGGCTTTTTGCCTTGCACAGCCAAGCTCAGTTCAATCCCTGGGACCCCATCTGGTCCCCTGAGCACTGCCAAGTGTGCTGTGCCCCCTCACCCCCCAAAAGAAAATAAGTCGGGTTGGAGCAATAGCACAGCGGGTAGGGCGTTTGCCTTGCATGCGGCCGACCCGGGTTCGATTTCCAGCATCCCTTATGGTCCCTTGAGCACCGCCAGGAGTAATTCCTGAGTGCAGAGCCAGGAACTTCAGCCTGAATTAGGTGAAGCTTCAAATTGAGCTTGAGGTGATGCTACCATTCTTTTGGCGAATACACTTGTACATGCGCGCACACACAGCACTTGGGGGTCATTCTCAGTGGTGCTTAGGGGACCATGACGTGCCAAAGATTGCACCCAGTATTCCCCATGCAAAGCATGTGCTCACCCTTTGAGAAATCAAGTAGGCTCTGATTTGCGTGAAATGTTTTGGCTCCTAAAGAGTAAGGTAGTGTCTAAGATATAGATATATTTTTTCCCTTGTGCTGGGAATTAAACCCATGGCCTTACACATGTAAAACATTCTTTCTACCACTAAGCCACGTACCTGGCAGCACCATGGTGCCCCTAAGCACAATGTTGTACTTTAGCTCACAGTACTGGGGACCACCAGGGCATGGGTGCAAGTAGTGGGAATCAAATCTGGGGATTCCTTATACGAGGCATATGGCCCAAGGCTTTTGAGATATCTCTCCAGAACCCAAGGTTGAATTTTTTAAAATTTTTTTTTTACTTTATAAAGTAGTTCACAATATTTGATTGCATTTAATATTCAAACACCAATCGCACCACCATTATACCTTCCCACCACCATATTTTGGATGTTTCCATCCAAAATAACAATCCCTGCCCCAAAGCAGAACCAAAATATATTTTGTATTGTTTGATTGAAAAACTGCTGAAAATGTAACAAAATAGTATCCTTAGAGGAAAGAGTGAGAAGATGGTTGTAGTTGACCCAGGGGCCATTAAGCCCTTCTATAAGAAATTACTAACATGTTGTTAAAGGCTGAGCCAAGGTTGAATTTTTATTAACTTTTACCATCATAACTATTTTGTTTGTCTGGTTTTTTGGTGGGTTTTTTTGTTGTTGTTTGTTTGTTTGTTTGGTTTTTGAGCCACACCTGGTTATGCTCAGGGTTTTCTCCTGTCTCTGCACTCAGAAATCATCCCAGCAATGCAATGCCTATGAGGCGCATAGGAGCATTTCTATTTGGCTGCCTGCAAAGCAAAGCCCTTATCCCTGAACTATCCCTCGGGCCCCTGTTTTGTTTTGTGGCCTCACACTAGCTATACTGGAGTATAGGGACCATATGGGATGCTGGGAATTGAACCCGGGTTGGCTGCGTGCAAGGCAAATGCCCTACCGCTGTGCTATCGCCCCAGTCCCTAAATCAGTCTTTTATTGACTGTATATTATGGGCCACATACTGTCTGAAAGAATAAATGAGATCATTTCTATTCTCAGTATATTATGAACTATTATACTATTCTCCCAGTTCTGTAAGATTCAGATGTTGGAGTGGGGCAACATTTGGCCTTTGGGTATGTGCTATTGCTCCAGCCCCTACAATACTGTTAATGATAGCCCAAGTCCTATTACTGGCCCTGTGTTACTGGTCCCATTAACTAGAAAATTCTGAGAATAGAAATGATCTCATTTATTCTTTCAGACAGTATGTGGCCCATAATATACAGTCAATAAAAGATTGATTGAGGGACTGGAGCGGTAACACAGCAGGTAGGGCGTTTGCCTTGCACGCAGCCAACCCGGGTTCAATTCCCAGCATCCCATATGGTCCCCTGAGCACCGCCAGGAGTAATTCCTGAGTGCAGAGCCAGGCGTAACTCTTGTGCATTGCCGGGTGTGACCCAAAAAGGAAGAAAAAAAGATTGATTTCATCTGCCTCACAGATGGGAGGGGAGGGAGGCGGGTATATTGGGGTTTTTGGTGGTGAAAAATGAGTACTGGTGAAGGGAGAGGTATTTGATTATTGTATGACTGAGACTTAAACCTCAAAGCTTAGTAACTTTTCCCACGGTGATTCAATAAATATAAGAGGAAAAATAAATAAATAAAATTATGAAAAAAAAGATTGATTTAAATGATTCCAAAAGATAAATATATTAATATCTTTTGTTATATTAAAAAATGAGAAACTCTTTTCTTTTTTTCTTACAGATAAAGCATATGATGGCTTTCATTGAACAAGAAGCCAATGAGAAAGCAGAAGAAATTGATGCAAAGGTGAGATTACATTTTCTGGGCTTAAGACATTATCAGGGGTCTGGAGTGATAGCATAGTGAGTAGGGCCTTTGCTTTGCATGCGGCCAACCCAGGTTTGATTCCCAGCATCCCCTATGGTCCCCTGAGCATCGCCAGGAGTAATCCCTGAGTGCATGAGCCAGGGGTAACTCCTGTGCATCGCCGGGTGTGACCCAAAAAGTAAAAAAAAAAACCCAAAACATTATCAGATTTTCATATAGTATTTAGTTATTAGGTGTGATTCTTATCTCTGTGCTTAGGGGACCATATGTGGTACCCAGGATTTGACATGCAAGTGTTGTACTACTTATACTGTATCTCCAATTTTTGTATTTTGTTAAGTAATAAATTAGTTTCTTTTAATAAAAGGGTTTTTGTGTGTGTGTATGTTTGGGACTCACCCAGGCTTTCTCTTGGCATGCTGAGGATCAAATCTGGGTCCAGCCCCAGTTAGGAAAATCTTTACTAGTACTTAGGAAAATCTTTTAGTGCAATGCATGGAACTATTCATACTAAAAATAAAATTTGCTTTCTAAACATTCTTTTTCTTTAGTCATGTTTTGGTTTTTGGTTTTGGGACCTTAGTGGTGCTCAGGGACCATCTGCATAGCTGGGGGTTAAAACTGGTTTGGCAGGATCCAAGGCCCTTATACTATTATACTATCTCTCCAGATTCTTTCTGAACTTTCTGGGTTGGTTTTTTGGTTTTTGGGTTTTTTTGGCCACAGCCACTGATGTTCAGGGGTTACTCCTGGCTCTGTACTGAGGCCTCACCCCTGGTGGTGCTCAGGGGGCCCTATCGGATGCAGGGATCTAATCTGGGTCTGTTGTGTACAAGCCTTCATTGCTGTACTAGCTCTCTGGCCCTAAATATTCTGATTACCAATAAGTACCCTAAAATTTTATAGTAGCAAATAGAAAATCCACACATTTTGCATTGGTGACTATGATTAATGGTTGATTAATGGTGGAATTTTGTGTTATTTTGCTTTTTTAAAATTAATATATGCGGGGCTGGAGAAATAGCACAGCGGGCAGGGTGTTTGCCTTGCATGCAGCCGACCCAGGTTTGATTCCCAGTATCCCATATGGTCCCCTGAGTACCGCCAGGAGTAACTCCTGAGTGCAGAGCCAGGAGTAAGCCCTGTGCATCGCCAGGTGTGACCCAGAAAACAAACAAAAAAAAAATTATATATGCTCATTTGTCCAGTTTGATTGTCACTGCATGTTGCCACTATAGCCTGAAACTTTTGTGCCTAGGTATTCTAGAACTAAAACTCCCTGAAGCTTTGAACATCTCATAAAGATTGTTTTGTCTGCTTCTAATATATGATAGTTGGTATTGCTTAATATTATGTTGATGACTACATGAGCACTTCAGTTTCTTTCTTTTTTTTTTTGCTTTTTGGGTCGCAACCAGCAATTCTCAGGGGTTACTCCTGGCTTTGCACTCAGGAATTACTCCTGGCGGTGCTCGGGGGACCATATGGGATGCCGGGGATTGAACCCGGGTCGGCCGCATGCAAGGCAAATGCCCTACCCGCTGTGCTATCACTCTGGCCCCCAAGGACTGCAGTTTCTTATATGTACTAGTTCTTTATTTCTCCCTGCAACAAATATAGAATTATTTCAGCTGGGAAATACTTTCTGTTTTAAATTGTCTTAATTTGGGGCTGGAGCCTTGTATGTGTTAGACCAGGCTCCTAGCACCCCGTGTTCTCCCAAACATCACCAAGAGTGATCCTCCGCACTAAGCTCCAGAGCACTGCTGGTGAGACTCAAGAAAAAAAGTGAAAAATTAAGTAGCCTTATAATTTGTCCAGCACCTTCTATTGTACTTACTTCTTATGATAGGCATAGAAATAGCGGTTAGGCATTTATTATTATTTAGAATATGAAAGGTCAGATACCCAAGTTATTAGACATGTAAATTGTCAGCTTAAACTATTCAAAAATCATAATTTATTACTGCTTGAAAAATCACAGGAATCTGATACACTGTTTTTGTTTTGGTTTGTTTTTTGACCATACCCTGTAGTGCTCTGTGCTTACACCTGGCTCTGCACTCAGGGATCACTCCTAGTGGGATTTGGGGAGCTATGTGGCATGCTGAGAATTAAACTGAGGTTGGCCATGTGCAGGGCAAGTTCCTTAGCCAGTATTCTCTCTCAGTATTCAGTCCTCAATACACTATTATTAAAAGTAAATTTTTAAAATAGTTTCATTGAGGGGCCGGAGCGATAGTACAGTGGGTAGGGCGTTTGCCTTGCACGTGGCCAACCCGGGTTCAATCCTTGGCATCCCATATGGTCCCCAGGAGTAATTCCTGAGTGCAGAGCCAGGAGTATCCCTGAGCATAGCTGGGTGTGACCCAAAAAGCAAAATTAAAAAAAAAAAAAAGCTTCATTGAAACTGGAGCCCCAGCGGCCTTGTGTACAACCGACCTGGGTTTGGATTTGTGTGTGTGTGTGTGTTTTGTTTGCTTGTTTGTGGGCCATACTGGGCAGTGGTTGGGCTTACTCCTGGCTTTCTGGCTCTGTGGATTACCTTAAACATATATTGTTACAAAGCTAGTGTTATCTCAATAAAGATTTAATTATTTAGGATAGTAAGAGGGCAAAAAAAAAAAGGTAAGAGGGCTAGAGAGGGATACATGCCCTTGCACTTGGCAGACCTTGATATCACATGCAGACCTTGATATCACATGGTTCCCTGAACACTACCTGAGTGACCCTCAAGCACAGTGCTGGGAATAGCCCCTCAGCACCACTGTGTATGGACGGCTCAAAGAAAGGGCTAGCTTTGTGTTTGGAGTCTTGTGTTTCATCTCCAGAACCTCGTGATCTCCTGAGTACTGCGAGGGGGTGGGTAACCCCAAAGTAAACAAGCTAATAATTTGCAAAATAAAGCTGACAACTTATACATATAATGTATTTGTTTTGTGGGGGTTACCACACCATGTAGGTGCTTGGGGTTGGTCCTTATGGTGCTTTAAGGGTTTTGAGCTAGCTCTCCAGTTCCGTAACTTACAAGTTATGATTTCTTTTTTGGGGGGCCACACCCAGTGAAGCTCAGGGCTTACTCCTGACTCTGCACTCAGGTGCTTGGGAGATTTTGTGGGGTGCCAGGAATCAAACCCACATCGGCTATGGGCAAGGCAGAAACCTTGCCTGCTGTACTACATCTCCAGCCCCTAAGCTAGAATATTTAAAGGACTGTTAGATTTATTGTATTTATTCCATTTCCGAGACAGATTATATAATCCTTATTTAAAATTTTCCTCTCCCTCTTCCTTTTCCTTTTTGATGCTGTGATAACCGAAAGTTGTCACGCCTTAGTTGTGCTCACACACACTTCGCACTTGTTTGCAGTGTGCTTGAGACCTGCACTTTGTTTTGGTCTCAAGCACAAGCTTCATGGTTCCCAAATAGGAATCTCATTCAGGCACATGGACCATGTCAGGAATTGAACTTAAGGCTTCATGCTTGCAAAGCAGGTGCAGTACCACAGAGCTGTCTTTGGGTCCCCACTTAACCAATTGGTGAGTGTGAGTGTGAGTGTGTGTTTTCGTGTCTGTGTGTGTCCATGGCAGGACACACATGCCACACCCAGTGGCTCTCAGAGTTTGCTTGATTTTAGCCACTGTGGCAGAGCCCTGATTGGATCCAAATGCCTTATATAGTGTCCTGATCATTGCCGGGGCATTCCTGAGCACAGAGCCAGAAATAGCCCCTGCATGTTGTCACATGTGGCTCAAAAATTCCCCCCCCCCCAAGAAAAACTGAGTCATAATAGATATCTTTATATATAGAAAAAGGAGCTCACAAGTATTTCAAATCACCAGCTGCTTGAAATAAAACTGATTATTAAGATCTGGTATAATGAATCAATATTAACTAATTCCCTGTAGGCAGAAGAAGAGTTCAACATTGAGAAAGGCCGTCTGGTGCAGACCCAAAGACTAAAAATTATGGAATACTATGAGAAGAAAGAAAAGCAGATTGAACAGCAGAAGAAAATGTAAGTTGATTTTGGCTGTAGAATTAATCTAAGAAAGGTTTAGAGAGGCCAGGGAGACAGTGCAAGCCTTAGGGTGCTTGCCTTGTCAGGAGTAGCCCCTGAGCATCCCTATGTGTAGTTCCATCCCTCCTCTGCCCTCCAAAAAAAAGTCAGAGGTGGCCAAAGGGCTGGAGTATATGCCTTGAAGCAGAAGCCTTAGGCTTGATCCTTTGCACCGCTTGATTCCCGTAGATGTGCAGATGTGGACTCTTCTAGTAGTCACACACAAAAATGTTATGGGACAAGAGCAGAGCATGTATTGAAGTCAGACTGGTATGAACCAACTCCAACTTTTTTTTTTTTTTTTTTTTGCTTTTTGGGTCACACCCGGCGATGCACAGGGGCTACTCCTGGCTCTGCACTCAGGAATTACTCCTGGTGGACAATATGGGATGCTGGGAATCGAACCCGGGTCGGCCATGTGCAAGGCAGATGCCCTACCCGCTGTGCTCTTGCTCCAGCCCCCACAACTCCAACTTCTTTTCTTTCATTTTTTTTTTTCCAGTGCTGGGGATGGAATCCGGGTTTTCTGTCAGCCTCTTGGGCTAGGGTCTTCCCCAACTCAAATGGAAATCTCACAGGGTTACCGGAAGATTAAATTAGAGTAACTGATAGGAAAGTACTTGCTACTTGACAGGCACCCTTTGAAAAAAAAGACAGTGAAACCAGTGGGTTATATCAATGGGTTTCTTTTGGTCATTAGGAAGAAAACTTTTTTTTTTTTTTTGCTTTTGCGTCACACCTGGCAATCGATGCACAGGGGTTACTCCTGGCTCATGCACTCAGGGGTTACTTCTGGCGGTGCTTGGGGAACCAGATGGATGATGGGATGATCGTACCCTGGTCGGCCGCGTGCAAGGCAGACACCCTAACCGCTGTGCTATCGCTCCAGCCCCAGGAAGAAAACTTTTTTTTTTTTTGCTTTTTGGGTCACACCCGGCGATGCTCAGGGGTTACTCCTGGCTCATGCACTCAGGAATTACTCCTGGCGGTGCTCGGGGGACCATATGGGATGCTGGGAATCGAACCTGGGTCGGCCATGTTGGCTGCGTGCAAGGCAAACGCCCTACCTGCTGTGCTATCGCTCCAGCCCCAGAAAACTTTTTATACATAACAAGAAACTGTATATTCGTTCATTACAGTTGTATTCTTTCTCTAAGTTTTTGGTTTTTATGTATTCTAATACTATTTTTGATACCGTTTTTAGCCAGATGTCCAATTTGATGAATCAAGCAAGACTCAAAGTCCTCAGAGCAAGAGATGACCTCATTACAGTGAGTAATTCCTACTAGTTGTAAAATTTATGTTTCTTTATTTACATATTGAGAATTCAGTTTAACTTACTAAGGGGTTGATTAGCTTTTTCAGGGAGAAAACATTTGATTAGCAAATTACGATTTAGATGTTATAATAAATATAAAAATGAGGGATTGGAGAGAGAGCGCGAAGGCCTAAAGCTCATAGTTTGCATGCAGGAGGCCTGGAGGTTTAATTCCCGGCATCACCTGGTCCCCAAGCACCACTACTAAGTGACCCCCAAGCACTAAGCAGGAATTGTCCCCCCCTAGTGTGGCCCAAAATCCCCCTCAAAAAAAAAATGCAACCCATGTCTACCTTTGGAGACTCTCTGATTGACAGAATATAAGACTCCCTTAGATCTAAAGGTGATAGGGACCACGGAAATTAGAAGGGAGGGTGCAGAGTTGGGTTGGGGGCCATACCCGGTGGTGCTTAGGGGTTACTCCTGGCTCTGCCCTCAGGAATTACTCCTGGTGGTGCTCAGGGGATCATATGGGATGACAGGGATCGAGTCCAGAGGAGCTGTGTGTAAGGCAAGTGATCTATCTGCTGTAGTCTCTCTCCAGCACTCAATTTTTTTTTCTTTCATTTTGGGGTCATGCTGGTGTTCTTGTGACTTAAACAAAGGGAGCATCTTGTCCAGAAGTGATCCCTGAGAGCAGAGCCAGAAGTAAGCCCTAAGTATCACCAGAAGTGGCCCCCAAAGGCAGACAAAAGAAAACCCAAAAAAGGATCATGTTGCATAGTAGATTTTTATCAAATCACGTCGATCTTTCCCTTGTCAGTCACACAGCTGTAACAGAAATTAGAGGTTTCTGAACTGATGCGCCCTGGGACTGTGATGATGCCTTGTGCTTCCTAGAATCCTTAGCATGGAAGCAACTGGTTTTGTTGCAGAAAGGAGATAAAATGATACTCATGATACCCTTTCAGTTACTATACTGCAAACCACAATGCCTAAAGGAAAAAAAAAAGTGCCACAGAGGCACGCTGGAGACCGTGGGAAATTGGAGACATTGGTGGAGGGAGTGGATATTGTGGTGCTGGAACATTATGCAGCTAAAATTCAATCATGGACAACCTCGTGACTTTGTAGCTCACTGTGGTTCAAACTATTTTTGAATAAAATAAGCAACAGGTTTAAATTAGAGTGTGTCTTGATTGAAAACAGCAATAGAATGTGCCATGATCAGGCATGTGCTAGGACCGGGTGACTTCCCGGCTGACTATCCAGATGTACAGGTAACATTTTTCTTTCTTTTTTGTAGGACTTACTGGCTGAAGCAAAACAAAGACTCAGCAAGGTGGTAAAAGATACAAACAAGTACCAAGTGCTGCTGGATGGACTGGTCCTCCAGGTACCTTTAGCAGTCAGATCTACCTGTTCTTAGAAAAGTGAAAGATACATGAGCTTTATTTTCCCCATTTTCTAATCTTGGCTGTTATCATCTTGGTATTTTCCTTGTCCCATAGAGAAATGTGGACTGCCTGGGGGAATAGTAATAAATGATTCCTCAGATCATCCAGGTTTCCCACTCTTTGATCTAGGTTTTACATCCAGGGTCCATATTTCCTTGGAACCTCCAGCTTTCAGCCCTCCTAATTTGATCAGACCCCTAAGATAGTTGTTTTAGATATTGGCATCCAGACAAATACTATGTACATTTTGATTGAAGATTAGCTATTAGGTCCTTATCACTGTATCAATTTCATCCTGTTGTTCATCGATTTCCTTGAGCAGGCACCAGTAACGTCTCCTTTATCCTAGCCCTGAGATTTTAGAAAGTGCCACATTCGAGGCTCTTTCAGGGTCAGAAGAATGAGACCCACCATTGTTACTGATTTTTGGCATTAGGTCCTTATATTTGTCTTTAAGCTTTGTTCCTGTGAGACGTCAGAGAGATAGTACAACTGTTAAGGTCTTGCATGCAGCTGATCCTGATTTGATCACAGGCACCACGTCTGGTCTTCTGAGCACTGCCGGGAGTAGGCCTGGAGCACAGAACCTGGAGTAATTCCTGAGAACTGCTGGTGTAGACCTAGAACCTCCCAAAATTTGAAGATATTTTTAAGCACCAAGAAAGACAGCCATGTAAATTGAGTTCTTCTACAAGAGTGTTTCAGCAGTAGGGCGTTTGCCTTGCATGCAGCCAGCCTGGCCAAGCCAGGTTCGATTCCTCCGCCCCTCTTGGAGAGCCTGACAAGCTACTGAGAGTATTCAATATGCCAAACACAGTAACAAGAAGTCTCACAATGGAGATGTTACTGGGCCCGCTCGAGCAAATCGATGAACAATGGGAGGACAGTGTTTTATGAAAAGATTTTGGTTTTGTTTGTTTTGTTTTTGTTTTTGGTGATATTCAGGGATCACTCCTGGCTCTGGGCTCAGGAATCACTCTTGGCAGTGTTTGGGGAATCATATGAGATGCTGGGGATTGAATCTCTGTTGGCCATGTGTAAGGAAGGCACCCTGCCTGCAGTACTGTCATGGTTCTATGTTCTTGTACTATGTATGCTGTGTTTGAGGGAAATAAGGAGACTTGTTTTGTTTTTGCCACACTGGTGGTGCTCAGAGCTTACTCCTGGCTCTGCACTCGGATGGAATTTGAGGGATCGTATGGGATGTCAGGGATCGAACCGGACTGGCCATGTGCGAGGCATGTGTCTTACCCATTGTCCTATCACTTCAACACACAAAGAGACATTTCCCCAAACTAGATAAATGAAAACATTTTGCTGTAGCTTTATTTTCAAGCAAAGGCTATTCTGTTTAATACTGATTGCTTCTAATTGTGTTTTACAGGGTTTATACCAGTTGTTAGAGCCCCGAATGATTGTACGTTGCAGAAAACAGGATTTCCCTCTGGTAAAGGTAAAGAGCTTATAGAAGTAATCTTTCTTTTTCAACATTGGAAACGTTGATGCTGTAGAGATAGTACAGCGGGTAAGGTGCTTACCATGCATGCACCCAACCCCAGGTTTGTTCCCCGGTATCCCTATGGTCCCCTGAGCACTTCTGGGCGTGGCTCCCGAATTAACACGCAAAAAAATACCCAATAGAAATCTGGGGCTAGAGTGAGAGTACAGCAGGTATAGTGCTTGCCGTACACATGGCCAATCTGGGTTTGATCCCTTGCATCCTGTATGGTCCCCCAAGGACTGCCAGGAACAGTTCTTGAATGTTCAGGAGTAACTCCTGAATATCGCCTTGTATGGCCCAAACACCAAAAGAAAAAAAAAAAAGAAAAAGAAGAAAAAGAAAGAAAGAGAAAAGAAATGTTAGGCCGGGGAGATAGTTCAAAAGGACTAGGAAGAAAGAGTAAAAGAGCTTAGAGTAAAGAAGGCTTCCCGGTCTGTATATGACCCCACCACAGAGCCAGGAATATCCCCTGTTTGTCACTGCTGTGAGAAGCCCCTGAGCACAGCTTGGTGTGGCCAAAACTCAGGAAACAAAACCCAAAGCCCAATCGAAATGTTAGGATGAATTCTCCAGCAGATAACAGCTTAACCATGACGATTGAATGAGTGCTAACAATTGTAGATAGTCAATGTTCATTTATTGTGGCTGGAGAGAGTACAACAGGTAAGACGCTTTTTTATTTTTTAATGTTTTGTTTTGGGGACCCCACTGAACAGTACTCAGGGCTTTACCCCTGGCTGGGCTAGGGGGACCATATTGTGCCAGGGATTGGACCTGAATTGGTACAAAGCAAGCACCCTACCCACTATAGAATTGTTCCAGCCCCAAAGCCTTGCATGCAGTCTGCCGTGGCTTGAATCCCAGGCAACGCATATGGTCTCTCAAGCATCAACAGGAATCAGTCGTGAACGCAGCCAAAAATAATTTCTGACCACTTCTGGGTATATCCACTCTTTTTTTAAAAGTACATATTTATTACTAATTTATCAAGGTAACATTAGCTTACAAGAATACAAATATTTATTTGTTTGGGGGATACAATGTTACCATATAAGAATGCTAGTAGCCCTATAATTCTGTGCTTCACTTTTTATTATGATTATTTATTAAAGTAGCACTGATTTAAATATCATATTAGCTTTATATGCACAGCATTTTAATTCAGCATTTACATATACTGTATTCTGATCACTGCCAAAAGTCTAGTTTCCATTTTCTCCTCTGCATTATTTTTGGGTTAATTTGTCTTGTTTTGTGGTACCATAGTTTACAAGATCCCTCTACCACAGTCTCTTCTCCCCCACCCCCCTCTTGCTTTTTAAAAAAAAAATGTTTTTTTTGGGGGATGGGGGATTTTTTTTGCTGTGCAAAAAGCAATCCCTATGTACAAAATAGCCACCAAGAAAGATGTTGATGTTCAGATTGATCAGGAGGCCTACCTGCCTGAGGAAATGTGAGTATTCTTGCTCGTGTTCCATTTCTTTTTTATGGGAGGTAGTCACACCTGGCAATGTCCAGGGACCACTTCTGGCTCTGTGCTCGGGGGCTAGTCCTAGCAGTTTGGTGGACCATGGTGTGATACTAGGGATTGAACTGGGTCTGGCTGCATGTAAGGCAAGCACGTTATCTCCTATCTCTCCCCTCACACTATTTTGTTTTGAGGCCAAACCCAGTGGTGCTCAGGGACCTTGAAATGCTGGGAATTGGGTGCTCCAGCCAGCTCTGCAGCCCCTGTGTTGAATGGTTTGAAGAACTGCTGTCCCATTTAACATTTACAACAGTGGCTGCATCATTTTACATTCCTGCCAATAATATAGCTATTTTTGTTACAATACCTATTATCTATGATCTATTTGAAATAAATAGGAGTATATTCTCGCTTGTATAGTTTGTTGCTCATTGAAAAATCAAGCCTTTCTCTAGTTTCTGCTTGTCATTGTTTTCTATTTCTCCAGGCTGCTGTGCAGAAAGCAATCCCTATGTACAAAATAGCCACCAAAAAAGATGTGGATGTTCAGATTGATCAGGAGGCCTACCTGCCTGAGGAAATGTAAGTGTTCTTGCTCGTGTTCTTAACATTTTTGTCTGAGAGCTCGAATTGCCTTTAATCTGGATCTTTGAAAATCGGATTTTTCTCAATGGCACTTTTAGCCATAGAGACAGAGGTACGGCTCTCTTCTACTTGCAGCTTTTGCATTCTCTGCATGTCTTATTTTTTTATTTTTTTAAAAATTTTTAAATTTTGTATCACTGAATCACCGTGAGATACAGTTACAAAACTTTCATGTTTGAGTTTCAGTCATACAATGATCAATCCCTCCACCAGTGCACATTCCCCACCACCAATCTCCCCAGTATCCCCCCGCTTTCCATCCTCCCCCTGCCTCCACCATGGCAGACAATTTCCCCCATACTCTTTCTCTACTTTGGGGCATTATGGTTTACAATACAGATACCGAGAGGTTATCATGTTTGGTCCTTTATCTACTTTCAGCACACATCTCCCATCCCGAACGATTCCTCCAACCATCATTGACTTAGTGATCCCTTCTTTATCCCAGCTGCTTCTCCCCCAGCTCATGAGGCGGGCTTCCAACTATGGGGCAGTGTTCCTGACCCTTGTGTCTGCTGTCCAAGGTGTCCATCTCATATTATGTTATTTTATATTCCACAAATGAGTGCAGTCCTTCTATGTCTGTCCCTCTCTTTCTGACTCATTTCATGATACTTTTCATGTCCATTCACTTAGAAGCAAATCTCATGACTTAGTCTCTCCTAACAGCTGCATAGTATTGCATTGTGTAGATGTACCAAAGTTTCTTTAACCAGTCGTCTGTTCTCGGGCACTCAGGTTGTTTCCAGGTTCTGGCTATTGTGAACAGTGCTGTAACATATAGGTGTAGATGTCATTTCTACTGTGCTTTTTTTCACCCTCGGGATATATTCCCAAGAGTGGTGTTGCGGGGTCATATGGAAGCTCAATTTCTAGATTTTTGGGTTTGGTTGTTTATTTATTTATGCTTTGTTTGGGTCACACCCAAGCGATGCTCAGGGTTATTCCTGGCTCTGCACTGAGAAATTACTCCTGGTGGTGCTTGGGGGACCATGTGGGATGCTGGGAATCGAACCCGGGTCAGCCACGTGCAAGGCAAATGCCCTATCTGCTGTGCTATCGGTCCAGTCCCTCAATTTCTAGATTTTGAAGGAATATCCATATTGTTTTCCAGAAAGGCTGGAGCAGTTGGCATTTCCACCAAGCAGCGAAAGAGTGTCCCTTTTTCCCCACATCTATGCCAGCACTGGTTGCTTTTGTTCTTTTGGATGTGTGCCAGTCTCTGTAGTTAGTTGTTTTTTTTTTTTTCCCTTTTTGGGCCACACCCAGTGATGCTCAGGGGTTACTCCTGGCTCATGCACTCAGGAATTACTCCTGGCGGTGCTCGGGGGACCATATGGGATGCTGGGAATTGAACCTGGATCGGCCATGTTGGCTGCGTGTAAGGCAAACGCCCTACCCGCTGTGCTATTGCTCCAGCCCCTAGTTGTTGTTTTGATTTGTTGTTTTGATTTGCATCTCCCTGATGATTAGCGAAGTGGCACATTTTTTCATGTGCCTTTTAGCCATTTGTATTTCTTTTTTGAGGAAGCTTCTGTTCATTTCGTCTCCCCATTTTTTGATGGGGTTGAAGTTTTTTCCTTGTACAGTTTTACTAGTGTCCTGTATATTCTGTATATTAATCCCTTATCATATGGGTAAAGGTAAAGGTAAAGGCCCTCCCGTTGATCGTCGATTTGCTCGAGCGGGCCCAGTAACGTCTCCATTGGAGACTTTGTTGTTACTGTGTCTGGCATATCGAATACTCTCGGTAGCTTGCCGGGCTCTCCGAGAGGGGCAGAGGAATCGAACTCGGGTCGGCCATGTTGGCCGCTTGTAAGGCGAACGCCCTACCCGCTGTGCTATCGCTCCAGCCCATATGGGTATTGGGTAAATATTCTTTTCCATTCTGTGGGCTCTCTCTGTATTCTGGCCACCTACCTTTCTTTCTTTCTTTCTTTCTTTCTTTCTTTCTTTCTTTCTTTCCAGTTTTTATAGCCCATCTTAGTTATATTATAGGATAACTTTTTTTTTATTTAAGTGAATCATCATGAGATACAGTTACAGACTTACATATTTTCGTGATTACGTTTCAGTCAAACAGTGTTCAAGTACCCATCCCTCCACCAGTGCCCATTCTGGTCACTGTCTCTTTTAAAGTTCAGAAGCTTCTTAATTTGATATAGTCCCATTTGTTTATGTTTGTTTCCACTTGCTTGATCACTGGTGTTGCATCCTTGAAGGTGCTTTCAGCTTCAGTGTCCTGGAGTGTCTTCCGTTCTTACAAACCTGCTTTTGTCCACTCTTTCATCCCACAAGAGGTAGCCCTATTTCCATATCCAAATGTCAGAGTGGTTCCTGGTCTCTGTCAGATGTGGAGGAAGATAAATTCTATCTCTGTCATTATCAAAGATAAGGGTCATGTATAATTTCAGCATCAGAGCACTCCCTTGATTATCTTTTTCCTCACTAAATAATCCACTGGCCTTCCTATTAGAAAAACCCAAGTCAGCCGCCCAGTTTCATTAGATAGAGAATTATCGTACCAGTGGTACCTCTGCTGACCGTGACAGCATGTGAGAGGTTTCCTCAGCTTCCTGCTAAACTTGTGCCATTGAGAAGGGCACTGGGAACTCCTGTAATTTTCTCGCACATTGTGAGGTTTCCTTGGCACCCCATTGACCTTCAGAGAGCAGCGTCCTTGGGACATTTGAACTTACTGAAAGCGCTAGACTTGGTTTGGGTCGTGACTTTAAATCTCACTGCACTTTGATTTTCTCATCCTAAGTTAGGTTGGCAGCGTCCCCTCACAGCATTCATAGATGTATCCCAGTGCCTGGGCTGGCTCAGGCTTGCACATCCATAGCCTCTCTGTGTGGTGATCATTGTTGTAGAAATCAAGTGGAATGTGAAACATAAGGTTGGAAGTATGGGAAGTTTTCTGTCATTTCCTCGTGTCTTTGGTGCCAGATACTTGAATTTCAGTGACTAGTAAAGTAATAAAATAAATATACCATTTTTATTTATTTTACCATAAAGTATGTGTATGTATGTGTGTACACACCATATTTACTTTGTGGTCTGGGGTATTGATATTTCTGAATGGCAACATAGGAATACTCATTCACATCATGAGGGATAAGTACATGAAGATTTGCTGGGCCAGAATGCTAGTACAGTGGGTAGGGCATTTATCTTGCATGTGACTGAACCTGAGGTCAATCCCCAGCAGCCCCACAAAAAAGATTTGCTAGTCTCTCTCTTTTGTGTGTGCATGTTGGGGGGCGGGAGGGGTCACACCCAAGTGATGCTCAGGGTGTTACTCCTGGCTCTGGCTCGCACTCAGGAATTTCTCCTGGCAGTATTTGGGGGACCATATGAGATTCTGGGGATCAGACCCAGATTGTGTGCAAGGCAAGTGCCTTACCCACTGTACTATCTCTTCAGCCCAAGATTTGCTAATCATTTGCTGCCAGAATGACTGGAGGTCAGTTCAGCTTTTTGTTTTTGAGGGTTTTTTTTGCAGTTTTTGTGGTTGTTTTGTTGTTGTTTTAGCCATACCCAGCAGGGCTCAGGGCTTACTCCTAGTTCTCCATTCAGGAATCAAACCTGGCAGGGATTGGGGGACCATATGGAGTGCTGAGCATCAGACCCAGGCTTACTAGATGCAGATACCCTACCCCCTGTATTATTGCTCTGGCCCCAGCTCGAGACCTTTTTCAAAGTCGTTCATGGTTGGGTTTCGGCCATACAGTGTTCCAATACCTGTCCCACTACCCATGTCCCCAATTTCCCTCCTTCCATCTCCCCACCCCACTCTGTCTCTATAGCAGGCACTTTTCTTCTCTCTCTCTCTCTCCCCTTCCCTCCTCTCTCTCTCTCTCTTCCTCACTCCTCCCCCTCTCTCTCCGCCCCCTCCAACCCCCCCCCCCGCCTCCCCCACCCCCATCTCTCTCCTCTCCTTTCCTCACCTCTTTCCCTCTTTCTCTTTTTTGAGTATCAGCTTGCAGATGGTTCCTTTTATTTGACACATAGTGAGTCCCGCCTGATTATTAGCAGGATCGACCTTTAAGACACATTTAGTTGATGTTTCTTCCTCTTTTTATTTTGTTGGGACAGGCTGATAGGATTAAATTAGATGATACTGTAACAAAATTAGGTTATCATTCACTGAGTGGTAATTATCAGCATGCATACTTCAGTGTTTTTATAGTTTTTTTTTGTTTTGGGGGTCACAGCCAGTGGTACTCAGGGCTCCTTGCAGTGCTCAGGAGACCATATGTAGTGCCAGGAATTAAACCAACAGTTGATCATGCGCAAGGCTAATGCCGTACTCCCCTTACTATTCAGAAGTTTTCTGAATCTCAAGTTTATAGCTTGTGCCTCTTGATCCATTCTATAGATACTCCATACATTAAAACTGCTTTTGTCATAATGAACTAAAAGAAAGTTTCCCAGCTATAGAAAACAAAATATTCACAATGCCTTTTTAGCAATTCTGATTGTTTGGGGGGAAATTTTAAACAATAATGGTGCATCTTTTGTCAAAATAATGAATGTAATCAATGTAGAGAAGAGTCAAGTAGAAATCATCTGCCTCACAGGCTTTTGGAGGGGTGGTGGGGGGGTATACTGGGGTTCTTGGTGGTGAAAAATGAATACTGGTGAAGGGAAAGGTGTTTGATCATTGTATGACCGAGACTTAAACCTGAAAGCTTAGTAACTTTTCCCAGAGTGATTCAATAAATAAATATAAAAAGAAAATAAATAAATAAATAAATTAAGGTGAGTTCATGCCCAATTCAATCAGCTAATCAGTGGCTGAATAAATAGCAGTACTCCTACCAATAAATAAATAAATAAATAAAAGGTTCCATGTGTTTTTGTCTTTTTCAAATCTATAAAAATTGCCTTTTGTTGTGTTCATTGTAGAGCTGGTGGAGTTGAGATCTATAACGGGGATCGTAAAATAAAGGTTTCCAATACTCTGGAAAGTCGGCTGGACCTCATAGCCCAGCAGGTGAGTAAGAGAATACTTCTCATTAGTCTGTTCTACTATCAAGTTATACAGAGAGGGGCTGGACACTCTCCCATAGCACAGCAGTTAGGGTGTTTGCCTTGCACGCGGCTGACCCAGGTTCAATCCCCAGCTTCCCATATGGTCCCCCGAGCACTGCCAGAGTAATTCCTGAGTGCGGAGCCAGGAGTAACCCCTGTGCATCACTGGGTGTGGCCCAAAAAGAAAAACAGAGAACATATTGTGTCCACTCATTGTTTTTTGAGGTTTGTTCTTTCCAGTTTGGACATTTTCTTACCTAGCGGCATTTACTTAGGTGACAGTGTTACATGAAGGGAGGATTTGGGATCAGGACCGGAGTTGGGTTTATACACATTCTAATGCTTATGTTTTGGTTCGTTTGGTTTTTGTTTTTTAATATTTGCATTTTCCTACAGGTTGAGATGTTGACCAGAATTCTTTCTCTAGAAAGAATTATTTAAAATTTAAATTAAAGACCCTCCCGTTGATCGTTGATTTGCTCGAGCGGGCCCAGTAACGTCTCCATTGGAGACTTTGGTGTTACTGTGTCTGGCATATCGAATACTCTCGGTAGCTTGCCGGGCTCTCCGAGAGGGGCGGAGGAATCGAACTCGGGTCGGCCATGTTGGCCACTTGTAAGGCGAACGCTCTACCTGCTGTGCTATCGCTCCAGCTCCAGCTCCAGAAAGAATTATGGCAACTAAATACACTTGGGGGGTCGTGATGGGTTTGGACCACATCTGGGTGTTCAGAGCTGATACTTGACTCTGTGCTCAGGGGTCACTCCTGTGCTTGGGGGATTGTGGTGCTGGGATCAAATCAGGGTCAGCTGCATGCTACCTTCCTGTACTATCTCTCTGGTCCTAAAGGAAATATACTTCTAAAAATTGCTTGGGGTGAACGGGGGCTACTTCCAACATTCTTAAGGGTCCATAATACTGGGCATCAAACTCAGAACTTCTAAAGTGAAAGGCTTGTGTTCTAACACTGAGCCACATTCCTTGTCCCATACCCCACTTTCAGCTTTTTGAGCCACATCCAGCTATCCTCTGGAATTATTCTTGATGGTGTATGGCTCCCACTCCATTTTTTTTCTTTTTTGGGTCACACCCGGCAATGCTCAGGGGTTACTCCTGGCTTCGCACTCAGGAATCACTCCTGACGGTGCTCGGGGGACCATGTGGGGTGCTGGGAATCAAACCCAGGTTCGCTGTGTGCAAGGCAAACGCCCTACCCGCTGTGCTATTGCTCCAGCCCCTCCCACCCCATTTTTTAAAGTGTTTTTTTTTTTAAGTTTCAAAATTAATTTAGGGGCTCCTCACCTGATGGAGCTTAGGAGATAATCCCAGTGTTACAGATCGGAGCAGATAGGGGTGTGATGCTGAGGTTTGAACCCAGGGGCCCCACATGTGCTCCAGTCCCTTCTGGTAAGGGCCCTTTCTTCCTGCCTCACAGTGCAGCAGAAGCCCTTGAGCATGACTTTAGGACTTTTCAGGGGAGGAGCAGGGAGATGGGGCTAGACAGGAGGTTTGGGACACACACAGTTGCCCAGTTGCTTCAGCATTTCTCAGAGGACCATGCAGTATCAGGGATCAGATGGGGCCAGCCACATGCAAGGCAAGCACAGTAACCCCTTCTAGTCTCGATATGTGTTTAGCTTTGCTGGCCTTATAGGGGTTAATAGCTGGCCACCAATGGCTACCAAGTATAGTTCTGGTGTGTTTGGTTGGTTGGTTGGTTGGATTTTTTGTGTGTGGGGGGGAGGTGTTTTGGGGGTTTTTTGTTTTTGTTTTTGCTTCTTGGGTCACACCCAGTGATGCTCAGGGCTGTGGCTCTCTGACTCTGCACTTAGGAATTAGTCCTGTAGGTGCTCTGGGGACATGGAATTCTGGGGATTGATCCGGTTATCCACGTCAAGGCAAACCGCCTTACCCGCTGTACTATTGCTCTGGCCCCCCAAGTATAGTTCTCTTCAAGTTCTCCAACTGAGAATTCTTCCTGGGCTAGAGAGATAGTACAGGCAGGCGTTAAGACACTTGTCTTGCACGCGGCTAACTCCAGTTTGATCACAGAACTGCATAGAGTCCCCAACAAATCTTCTGGGCATGCTGCCTGCCCCCGCCTTACCCACCCGCCCCCCCCACCCCCCCCAAAAAAAAGAGCTTATTTACTAAAGAATTTTATTTCTTTGCAGATGATGCCAGAGGTACGGGGAGCCTTGTTCGGTGCAAATGCCAACAGGAAGTTTTTGGACTAAGCTGGGAGGTGGCATTCTCTGTTGTCCTACTTCAGAGATAATGGAAGTTTCTGATGTTTGAAAAAACCAAGCTATATAGATAGCTTCTTCTTTCCTGTTCTGATATTCTGTATTTATCAGTAGCTACCCTTCTGTTGCTCATACTCTTGCCTGAAATGTCAACAGTGGGAGGAAGTTTCATTTACTCTAATCAGGAACACTACCACTAGCTTATTTAAAGAAGCGACATGGCTTTCAGTGACCCTCTCTCATGGAGGGGGTGGTCGGGTGGTGGTTCGGTGGTGGTTGCATGAACCTCACCAGTTTGTCTACTCTTTCTCTGCTTCCTGTTTTCCAGTCTAGCGATCGAGGTTTGTGGTTTTCTCTGTCCTTAAAGGCTTAAAATGCATGGAGTATAGTAGCTTCACTGTTAACTTTTGGGCCTAGACCTTTTCCTGTCTAAATGTGATTTAAAAATCTAAGCCACAAATATGCTTTATTTATTAAAACAGAAGGTTTATGTGGAATTTATTGTCATTCTATTATACAATACAAAGTACTGAAAATTTGTGTCTTGAGAGAGTGATTATTGGGGGAGGGAGATGTAAAGGTGGGGATTGGCCATACTCGACTGTGCTTAGGGTTTACTCCTGGCTCTGTGTTCAGGGGTCATTCCTGGTATGCTCGGGTGACCATGTGGGATGCTGGGGATCAAACCCAGGTTGGCTCCAAGAACCTTACCAGCTACACTACACTGGTCCAAGAGAGTGGGTTCTACTGAAGTATCTAGTCTTCTGGACTGCTCAGAGCTTACTCCTGGCAGGGATGAGGACACCATATGTGGTGCTGGGGATTGAATCCGGGTCAATCAAAGTAGATGCCCTACCGCTGTACTGTCTCTTCAGGCCGGAAATCTAGAGATTTCTTTATCCCTGTATCATGTGCTGGTTGATAGCTCCCAGTATGTGTTCCAAGCATCACTCGGGAGACCATTCAAAGAGTTGCTCTTCTGTATCCTCCTTTTGTGCTTCCTGGGGGCCTGGGGCTGCATGAAGCCACAATTTCCATCCGCTGCATTGTCTCACGTGCCAAATGTGATCCAGGTAGCACTGCCATTAGGGTCCCTAATGCTGCAATAAGGTGGGCAATCCCTAGCACAGAACAAGTGTATGACCTCTGATATCACAAGGAGGGGGATGGGGAGGACTAGAGATAGTACAGCAGCCTTGCACACAGCCACCTTGGGTTCAACCCCCAGCATCTCATATGGTCACGCAGGTCCCACCACATGTGATCCCTGAACACAGAGCCAGGAGTAAGCCCTGAGGCCTACTGGATGTGACTCAAAAACATACCAATAAAACCCCACCGAATGGGAAGGGAAGGGGGAATGGAAAGCCCTCTTAAGATTTTGCAGGGAGGAGACTGGAGTGATAATATAGTGGGGAGGATGTTCGCCTTGCATGCAGCTAACCTGGTTTTATCCTCAGCATTCGATATGACACATAGAGCACTGCCAGGAGTAATTCCTGAGTGGAGAGCCAGGAGTAACCCCTGAGCATTGGTGGGTGTGACCCAAAAAGGAAAAAAAAATTTTTTGAGGGGAGAGGTATAATACAAAGTTTCTTATATATATATATATATATTTTTTTTTTTTTAATTTGCCTCCCTCCCTGTAATTGTTGAAGTGTGGCTCTGTTCAGGGATCATTCCTGGTAGGCTCAGGTGACCATGTGGGATGCCAGGGATCGAATCCAGGTTGGCTGCAAGAGCCTTACCTGCTGCACTATCTCACCAGCCCAAGAGAGTTGTTCATACTGAAGTATGTAGCCTTCTGAACTGCTCAGGGCTTACTCCTGGCTGGGATGCGAACACCATATGTGGTGTGTAAGGAATAAGCCCTGAACACACTTGCCTTACTATGGTGCTCACTGGGGTCACATATCAGGTCAGAGTGTATGTACTCAGCCCCAGTGCTCACCACAGGCTCTGCATCCTTGTTGTACTGGACACATGCTATGAGTTCTGGTGGTAGTGTTCTCTGCCTGGGGGTTACACCTCATTCTTTCTTGTTGGAGGTGGGGAAAGACCACACCTGCCTATGCTCAGGGCTTCTGCCTGTGCATTCAGGGATCACTTATTGCCTCTTGGGGGATCATAGAGGGTCTGGGGATTGAACCCGGGTCAGCCACGTGGAAGGAAAACACCCTACCTGCTATGCTGTGGCTCTGGCCACATCATTTTCTGTTCTTTCTGGGGAGACTCTACCAAGCAACACGCGGGAGGCCATTCAGTGTTGGAGATCAGACTCGGCACCTCCATATGCCAGGCATGCATCCCAGCACGGAACCATGTCGCTGGCGCTCATTCTTGCCGTTTTTCCTCAGATGACCTCTGAGGTCTGCCCACGGTCGCCCAGCTGCTTGGTGGCAGAGCTGGAATTTGAACTTGCCTGTCTCGGCCAATTCCTATAATTTATGAAGGCTTGAGCAGGGTTTTTTTCATGTCTTAGCTTCGAGGGGCTCATAAATGCCATTTCTTGGAACAGACTTTTCTTATCTTAGGATCTTACCTGTGGGGTGATCTCATTAACTCTGAAGCCTTCTGTTGGGGAATTCTGACCCAGCAAACACAATTACTCAAACACAATGACGAAGTGATTTTTTTTTTAATGTAGGAGTACTGCTATTTATTCAGCCACTGATTGAATTGGGCATGAACTCCACCTTACTTTTTTTTTCATTTTTTATAATTTTATTTATTTAATCACCATGAGAGCAGTTAGAAAGCTTTCGGGTTTAAGTCTCGGTCATACAATAAAACATCCGTATTTCACAAGTGCCCATTCTCCACCACCAAAAACTTCAGTGTTCCCCCATCCCACACCCTCCCCCTGCCTGTGGAGCAGATGATTTTCACATTACTCTCTCTCTACTTTGATCACATTCAATAGTTTGACACCAGACCCACCATTATTACTTGGAATTTTACCCCAACACTCAGATCTGCTGAAAAGGCAACAGTAGACAATTTGTTTTCTATTGCTGGTTAAGAATAACATGATGTCGCGTGGCTGCAGTAGTGGCTGCGCGATTTTGAAATTCTGAAATTTAAACACTTAAATCTGGAGGGATTTCTGCCAAAACCTGCTGGGTTCCAAGATTAGTTCCTGAGTCTCTGGGATCATGGCCATTAAGCAGCTTGATCAGGAGCCAGAGAGGCTGTTCATGGGCGGCGACTCGTGGTCTCGTTGGGGTGGGGAGGAAAGGGCTGATTCCACCCCCATCCCGTGAGGCCCCATGTGTCTTGTCACTGAGGGCCCAAACCTGACTGTCTAGTGGCCTCTGGAGGATGGTGGCCACTGAGCCGCCTAGAGGGAGCAGGCAGAGGGACAACACCCTTTCCCCCTGGGGTGGCCCGATGACAGTAACTGACTGTGGGTTCCGGATGCATTTCTTCCAAAAGCCACTGGGTTCTGAGATTTGTTTCTGAGTTTCTGGGATCATGGCCGTTAAGCAGCTTGATCAGGAGCCAGAGAGGCTGTTCATGGGTGGTAACTCGGGGTCTCTTTGGGGTGGGGAGGAAAGGGCCAGCTCCACCCCCATCCCGTGAGGCCTCATGTGTCTTATCACTGAGCAACCAAACATGACTGTCCAGTGGCCTCTGGAGGATGGCGGCCATCCGGGCCGCCAGGGGGAATAGGCCAAGGCACGAAACCTATTCCCACCTGGGTTAGCTCAGTGCCAGTAACCTACTGTAGGGACTGGATGCATTTCTGCTAAAAACCATTGGGTATCGAGATTTGTTTCTGAGTCTCTGGGATCATGGCCATTAAGCAGTTCAATCAGGAACCAGAGAGGCCGTGCCTCCAATTATATAACTGTTCCCGAGGTGACTTGTGAGTGTGTCTCCCACATACCTAATTTTTGGCCATTTACTTTCTTGGTAAATTTTGCCCCAAGTTTTTGGGGTCTGGCCAAAGGCACATCAGCAATTTTGAGGTATCTGGAAGTCTGAAGGCGCCATCAGGCTGCTGATGCACTTGGCACACAGGTACAGATTGACCTGCTGAAGGCACCCTATCCCCGAATGATGAAGTGATTTAATCAAATATTAAAATCTGGCCTGGTGAGAATGGTAAAGACCTTGCATACAACTACAGCAGCCGGAACCCTGGTTCACATCCCCTGAGCACTGCCACGTGTGACTCCAAAACCCAAAAAGAAAAGACTGAATGGCACAACAGCTGTCACCAAGCCTATGGCGGGACTCCACCTCACAACAGAGCTCCACAGAGATGTCAATTGCCTAAAGTTTTGGGTACACTGGTTTGTTGGGCTGAGAATGCCAGACCTTCTTGGAGTTGGGTTGGGGTCCTCAGGAAGCCCTGGCACATTCCACCACCACTGCCATGTAAGCTGACTGCCCAGTTAAATATTCTGGATTTTCTGGACAGCCCAGCATCTCCAAATGTAACACAGAAGCAAACTAACTTCAATAAACAAAAACTAGAATCTCAGCTAGCAACAATAGCTTAGTAAACCCTCAGACAGGGGCCTAATGTTTACCCTTGGTGAAATTAATTTTCACAAGTTTTCTTTTACTGGAAGTTTTTTTTTTTTGATAATTCCATTAGCTACTTAGTGGTAACAAGCAATATGAAATAAGTTATTTTTGGGCCTGCTTATGGGGGCAAGCTCGAGGGGTGGTTGGGAAAGAAGGTGACGGTGGTGGTGGCATTGGATTGGAATATTGAATGCCTGTAACAAGTACATCATGAACATCTTTGTAAAACAGTGTTTAAAGGGATGGGAGGAGATACAATATGACTTAAAAATATTGTATCCCTTGAGCTGGAGACTGCATATGCTTCCCAGGGCACTGGGGGAATAAGCACTGACTACTGTTTGAGGTGCCCACCACCCCGCCACAGTGAAATATAAAGTGTTCCTGAGACGGCCCTGCCCCCTGCTAAACAAACTGAAGAAGCAGTGGGGACCCAGCAGTGCTCATTTTGCTTGTTGGTTCTGAAGCACAGAATGTGGCAGATGATCATTGCAGCCGTGTGCTTTTTCTACTAATTGAAGGTGAGATTTTATCTTCAATGGACCTTATGGATTCCGGTCTGATGTTGAGGTCTTTAATCCATTTTGATTTTACTTTCATGGTGTTAGGCAAAGATCTGAGCCCACTTTTTTTGCATGTAGCCATCCAGTTTTGCCAGCACAATTTGTTAAAGAGGCTTTCCTGGGTCCACTTCACATTTCTTGCTCCCTTGTCAAAGATTAGATGATCATATGTTTGGGGGGGAGATGTCAGTATATTCAACCCTGTTCCATTGGTCTGCAGCTCGGCCTTTGTTCCAGTACCATGCTGTTTTAATTATGACTCTTTGTAGTAGAGTTTGAAATTAGGGAGGTTGATTCCTCCCATTTTCTTTTTTTCCCAAGAATTGCTTTAGCTGTTCGTGGGGGCTTATTGTTCCATATGAATTTCAGGAGTGTTTGTTCCATTTCTTTGAAGAATGTCATGGGTATCTTTATAGGGATCACATTGAATTTGTACAGTGCTTTGGGAAGTATTGCCATTTTGATAATGTTAATTCTCCTGATCCATGATCAGGGGATATCTTTCCATTTTCGCGTGTCCTCTTTTATTTCCTGAAGTAGTGGTACTCGATCATTGTATAATTGAAGCCCACGCACAAAAATTTGTAAGTCTACAACTGTACTTCATGGTGTTTCACTAATAAAAATTAAAAAAAAAAAGAAGAAGATGAGATTCTAAACTAGTCAACTTTATTTCAGTGTCCCATGAACGTGGTGCTGGCCAGTGCCTGTGCCCAGAGGAGGGTTTGGGATGGGGCGACCCTGGATGCAGATGCTCAGCGGAGGCTTCGAGGTTTTTGAGTGAAGGGTGTGCTGACTTCACGCTGACCTTCTCACTGTTCCTTTAGCTTCTGACCCTTCTTCCTCTGTCAACCAGTGCTCAACTAACCCTAAGTCTGTTTTGTTCCATTTTAGTTAGAAGTACCAATACTAAAATGCTCATACTGTCTCAAGTATAGTGAGTTTGAGGATGAAATAGAAACGTAGAAAGAACCTTTCTATCTTTCCTGTTAAGCTTCTGCAATTAATCCAGCCAAAGGAAGCATTGTTAGGTTGGGGCTTCTCAAGGTCCCTGGTAGGTACAGCCCCAGAGGAAGTGAATGCAGCTATCATTCTGCACGCACACAGGAAGGGTAGGGTAGACTCGGGCTATTATTAAAATAAGGTGCTTTCTTCCAATGAGGTATCACTACAAGTTAAAGGCAAAAGAGAGTAGGTGGGCCCTCCTGTTCCAGGTACAAAGGGCTTGAGCCCGCATTACATCTATTCAAAGAATTTCAGGATCCGCTCTCCGATTCCAATGAAGTAGACACCTTGGGCAATGCCGAAGAGTGGAGCAATGACAAGGGCCCGGCAGCCTGCTCCCTTCATGAATGCAGATGGTCCCTCCTGCATCCAGACTTTCCTGAGGAGAAAGCAAGAGTGGTGAGCTGAGAGAGAGGAGCCCATGGTCAGCACCCTCCAGCACTGAGCCCTGCGAGGAGAGCAGGTGTTACGGCAGGGGTGTCATGCTGTGCCTGCCCATGCTCTGGTAGCAGCCTCTGGAATACACTCTAGCACTGTAGCACTGTCCTCCCATTGTTCATCGATTTGCTCGAGCGGGCCCAGTAACGTCTCCATCATGAGACTTGTTACTGTGTTTGGCATATCGAATACGTCATGGGGAGCTTGCCGGGCTTTGCTGTGTGGGTGAGATACTCTCAGTAGCTTGCTGGGCTCTTGAGAGGGGCAGAGGAATCGAACCCGGCTCGTCCGGGCTGGCTGCACGCAAGGCAAATGCCCTACCGCTGTGCTATTGCTCCAGCCCTGGAATATACTAACCCTGGACCATTTTCTTGATCTGACTGGAGTGGATGCTGCAGGGATGTGAGGGAGAGGAAAAGGCTTTCCGAACACGTTGCCTTTGTTGGGAGGTGAGGGGGAAAGGACAGATTCCCAAGGAGTTCAGAGTGATGTTTTCTAGGTCAGAGTCGGTGCAGGGCTGTGCTGCAGTTCTGGGTAGGGAGTGGGGGTGAGGGTCGGGGGCTCTCACCTTGCACAGTCAGTGATGCCGCTGTAACTCTCCTCACCCAGGCCTTTCTTCAGGGTTTGAATTCGAGTTTTCAAAACTGAATCGAGCAAAAGTTAAAATAAGTGGTGAACTTTTGTTCTTCAAACTAAAGCGACTGCGTTTTAGAACCACGTATATAAAACAATTCAGCTGTGGATGATCCGTCAGGTCTTCTTTATTTTGTGGTGGGGGGTACACCTAGCGGTTCTCAGGGATCACTCCTGGCAGTGGACCACATGTGCTGTGGAGGGTCCAAATCGGGTCGGCTGCACTCAGGGCAGCACCTTAACCCATGTGCTGTCTTCACCAGTGTCTGGGCCTCCGTTATAGAATGAAGGAATTAGAACCACACCATCCTTTAGGTTACTACTTCTGGGTTAGAGGAGTGGGGTGTAACCCCAAAGATTGAGAAGGTATTTTCACACTGTTTAGCTCCTGCCTTTAGCCTCGAGTTTTAAAAAATCAGTCGTCTTCGGGCCTAAGAGAGAGTACAGGGGTGAAGGCACTTGCTTTGCATGCAGCCAACGGCACTGTGTGGCTTTCCAAGTATCACCAAATGCCGTCCCGGGGGATCCTTCGTTTGATCTGGGAACCCCTGGCACCGCAGGGCCTGTGCAATGCCACATTCCTGGGCCCTTGCATTGAATGGCAGCAGAGAATTACTGGGAGGCTGGAGCACTGCTTGAGAAACCCCTTTCCCCCAGAAAAACAAAAACTCATCAGTATTGTTGACTGGGGACAGTATCTGTGAGGCAGGGAGCTCAGGCGGGAGGCCCTGCCTAGCATGTGTGAGGCATCAGGGTTGACTCCCAGCACCATAACTAAAAAGATTACTCAAAAAGGAAAGCATGAAACTTGGATCCATTTTTTCCCCCCTGAGGACCTTTGATAAGCTTTTGTTAGTGGCCAAGGGGTTCTTCACCAAGATGGTTTTTAGGTTTCATCTCTACTCCGAACGCGTGGAATTACTGTCTATCCTGCAGTTAACGAGACATGCTTCATCTATAAAGCAACTCAGCTCTTGAGGCCCCTTCGTCCCTCTGCACTTACCATCCAGAGGTGTTACTATGACTGCGGCCAGGGAGCCAGCCACACAGCCCGATGCGAAGGAATGGGCAAAGGAAGCCTTCCCTGTCAGCTCGCTGTAGCCGAGGTTATTCAGGTTGGCAAAGAGCGGAAAGTAGACGATGGAGAAGGGAATGTCCCTGCAGAAGAGGAGGAAGAAGTCCTGAGCTAGGCTGCATCTCTGAGGCTTCCCCCAGCAGTCAGAATTTTTTCATGAGTAACTGTCTCATCAGACCGGCCATAGACAGAACCACAATTCCTTCTCTGGGCCCCCCCATGTATATGGCAAGAGACCACCTAAGAGTCCTACCAGCAAATGCAGCTGCTTACTAAGAAACCAGCCGGGGATTCAAAGACTGAAAATGTTCTAGAAAAGGAGGCAGGGTAAAAGCTGAGCTAGTGAGGTGTGAGTGGTGGGCAGGCCATGCGGCTCCTGGGTCAGTTTCCCAGATGAGAGCAGACAACCTGCCCGGGGTGCCTCTCCGGTGTGCCATGTTCCTGGCCACACACGAGAACACATGGGTCCGTCTGCCATTTGGTAACCCATGACCATATGCCTCTGGCCTCTCAAATGCCCAGGTAATGGGGCGTGGACTTGGAGCAGCATAACGCTAGTTTTCCAGGCATCCACTCTGCAACCCTGCCCTATATCGGACCACGTCTGAAGCGTCAAGCACCACCACGTGTCAGAATGTACAAGCCAGGGTACAGCGGTGGTCGGAGGCAAGAATCCTGCTCCTCTCCATCTGGGTTGGGTGCAAAGCCTCACCTGAGGAGAGTGGCACCCAGCCCCGTGTAGAGACCAGCCAGGCCCCGGGTACGCAGCAGCTCCCAGGCAATGAGAGTAGCGGAGGGGCGCCGGTGGGTGGATGCCGAGCCGGTGGTGTAGGACCTGGAGGAGGAAGGCACTGAGGACGACCCCTGAGGAGGGGTGGCTGCAAGGACAAGAGACACCCCATTAGCACTCAGGCCCCCATTGGTGAGGGAACACGCACCGAGAGTGGTGTGCTACTCCCATTCCTATATCAGAACAAGGCTAAAGGCCAGACTAACACCAACCAACACTTGGAGGGCTAATCTTAGTCTTTAAATTTCAAAGATCATACCTGGTAGTGTACTCAGAGCTATTCCTGGCTTGGTGGTGGTGTGTGTGTGGGGGGGGGGGGGTTAGTTTGCTTGCTTGTGCTGAGGGACCACACGGGGCAGGGCATCAGACCCAGGCTTCCTCCCTGCAAAGCATGGCTCTACCTGTCATTTTAAATAATTCACAAGCCATAATTTGAAGCATTAAACATCTAATAAATAAAATGGAATTTTCCTCCCCTGAGTATATTCAATACAAGCATTTTAAATGTGGGTGCTTCCCGTTAATGCATTCAATGCACTGATTTGTGTAATTATTTTCCTAATTCTCAGAGTTTGACAAGGCTTTTCTAAATTATAGCTCTTGCCAGAAGGAAATTATTTCATGCCCTAATTCTGTTTGATAACCCAGGAGGGCAACATATCATACTAAGAAGTTCCTTATTGCGCTTTCTTTTTTTAATGCCCAAGATCAAACCTAGGGCCTTGTGAGACATCTATTCTATCACAGAGTCACATCCTGGTCCCTGCAGATAGTGTTTTTTTTTGTTATATTATTATTATTATTGGCCACCTGGAGATGCTCAGAGTTACTTCTAGCTTTGTGCTCAGGGATCATTCATGGAGGTGCTCAGGGACCCACATGGGGTGGTCAGGATTAAACCCTGGTCTAGGCAAGCAAGCATCCTACCCATTTTATGATCTCTCCAGCCCCAGATAATGTTGTATATTACTATTGGTGTGTTTGATTTGTACACACAGGTACTTGCCACAGACCATAGAAGAAAGTCACTAATGGGTCTGGGGAGATAGATCAAAGACAAGCAAAGCAGGCATGAACCTTCAAGTTCAATCTCCAGCACCACATGGCCTCTATGGCCCCAGCACCGATGGTCCTGAGCAGTCTAACCTCAGGCAGAGTATCGTCAAGTGGTCTGGGGAGAGGGGAAAGGGGAGGAAGAAAGCAGCTCATCAATAAACATTATTTCCCTAACTTCCTTCTTTGGAGGCGCACCACTCATCTCTTCACGTCCCTCCATTTTCTTTCTCTTTCCTGGTATTTGGACCAGGTGGTGCTCAGAGCTTACTCCTGGCTCTGAGCTCAGCAATAACTCCAATGGGGCCCAGGGATTGAACCTAGGTTGGATGTGTGTAAGGCAAGACCCGCCCCACTATACTCTTGCTTGACCCTGAATACAACTCTTTCTTGCAATTTTCTTTGCTTCAGGCTCATCTGATTCAGCCTGGTTCTGTCCCATTAGATTCTTGCAGAACACAAGCACACAGCTGATTTGAGGTTTACTGAGGACTTTGAAGGAAGGGACCCAGGTCTACTGAGGGTAGGAGTCCCAGATTTACTGAGGACTTTGCCAGATGGTATTATGTACATTACACCTTGGCATATTAATTGGATGGCAAAGTCTTGAGAAGCCTGTGTTCCATCACATAGGGCTGGCGCCCCTAAGATAGCCTGTCCTACTCTTACCTGGGTCCTACATCACTCTATATTTTTTTTATTAATTTTTATTAGTGAAACACCATGAGGTGCAGTTGTAGACTTACAATGTTTTGTGCTTGGGTTTCGATTATACAATGATCAAATACCCATCCCTCCACCAGTGCCCATTTTCCACCACCATGTATCCCAGTATTCCTCCCACCCCCATCTCCCCCATCCCAACTCTATATTTTTAAAAGGACTGGAATTGAGGAAAGACCCAAATTCTTCCATCGAAAACTAAAAGAATTGGAATTTCTTCCTCCATCCCACCAAGACCAACCCCCATTGTACAAAGATACAATACAATTTCCACTGGCTGACGTGTTCGTAATCAAAGTAATGACTTTGTAATCAAAGTAAAGCTTTATGGGGGAAAAAGCATAATGTCTGGGCTGTATGATAGACTTAAATAGGGTAAGCATTCTCTTTCATGCCAAATTAAGTTCCTTATTTCTGCTAGAAGTAGTATTGAAAGAGAGAATGGTGACCTTAAGAGAAAGACTTCTACTGACCTAAGAAGCTGATCAGAGCATAGTCAGTAAACCCCTGTAGAATGTGGGGAAGCCTATCCAGACCACAGCCTTTGTGGTCCCAGGTGAAGCTGATATAGGCTCACCCAAGCGCCCGGCGTCCTGCAGCTGAATCTTGAGCATTTCCATGGGACAGGTAACTACCACCTGGCATACTCCTGCTCCACATCCAGCTAGCATCTCCATCTTCAGATTCCGCTGTTTCCTATGGGACCAGTGACCATCTGTCATAAAACCAGCATGCCACACAGTCCAGCCCATCTACACTCCCCCTTACTAGCTGAGTCTTGCCATGCATGACTTACAGTCTGTCCCCATCAGCTACCACTCACCCACCTGGATAAAAAAAAAATCACTTGGCTCTTAGGCTATTCTCTTGTTTTGGTGAGGTGTTCCACACCTGGCGGTGCTCAGGATTTACTCCTAACTGTGCTTATAGGTCACTCCTGGTGGAGCTCAGAGACTATGTGCAGTGCTGGGAATCACTGAGGTCAGCTGCGTGCAATGCTTGTGCAAAGCATACCTCCTGTGCTTGCTCTCTGGCCCCACGGTTCTTCTCTTTATGAATAATGCACTGCACTGCACTCCCATTGTTCATTGACATCTCACAACAAATTGTGAGACTTGTTACTGTTTTTGGCATATCAAATACGTCATGGATAGCTTGCCAGGCTTTGCCATGAGGGTGAGATACTCTCGGTAGCTTGCCGGGCTCTCTGAGAGGGGTGGAGGAATTGAATGAGACTAAATTTTTTTTTTTTTTTTTGCTTTTTAGGTCACACCCGGTGTTGTGCAGGAGTTACTCCTGGTTCATGCACTCAGGAATTACTCCTGGCGGTGCTCTGGGGACATATGGGATGCTGGGAATCGAACCTAGGTCAGCTGTGTGCAAGGCAAACGCCCTACCTGCTGTGCTATTGCTCCAGCCCTGAGACTAAATTTTAAACAAGCTCCTATGGAGGTTAGCACCTACATAGAATTTGAAACCAGTATATTCCTGCCTACTGCAGGAATTTAACCTTGATTCCTTTAAGGAATTTGTTCTTAATTCCATTCCAGGGCAAAGGAAGGAGCAGAGTACCGGGATTGGTTTTTAAAAATTCATCAATTTTTAAAAATTGATGAATTTTACTGACCTCCATGAGGGAGGTTAGAGAAATGGTACAAGGTACAAGGGCATTTGCCTTGTACACAGCCGGCCCAGGTTCAATCCCCAGCATCCCCATAGGATCCCTGAGTTCCACACAGGAATAATTCCTGAGTGCAGAACCAGGAATAACCATAATAATAAAAACCATAATAATAAATAATAATAATAAAAACCATAATAAACATCATGGAGTGTGACTCCCCCCCCAAAAAACCACCCAAATCAGCAGGACTGGTGCATATATAGTATATAGAATATATATAGTATATTACAATATATGAAATAATATACTACAGCAGGTAAAGTGCTTGCCTTGCATGTGGCCCACCTGGGTTTGATCCCCAGCACCACATATGATACTGTGAGCACCACTGGGAGTGACCCCAAGCACCTCTGGGCATGACCCCAAAACAAAAACAAACAAAATCATCATCAGAATCAGAGACAGTGGTTCAGTAGTGCAGAATATGGCTTACGTTAGGACCTAGGTTCAGTCCCCTGAAACACTAAAAATAATTTTATCAGTGACCACTGTAGGAGTGATATCTGAGTGCAGAGGCAGGAATAAATCCTAAACACAGCTGCATGTAGCTCCCCCCCACACACACACACACTTAAAAAAAGCTAATTTGTCAGCAAATAAAATCATCCATGCACATGGGGATTAACTAAAATTTGACCAGGAAGTCAAGAATACCAATGGACAAAAAGATAATATCCTCATAAGTGGTGCCAGTATATTGGAAATGCACATGTGAATGAATAAAACTAGATACTTATACGATTCACAAAAATGAACTCAGTGAACTGAAAAGACCTAAGTATAAAACCTGAAATAATTAAAATCCTAAAAAGGTGCTGTCTTGCATGTGGTTGGCCCACGTTTGATCTCCAGCATCCCACATGGTCTCCTGAGTACCACCAAGAATGACCCCTGAACACAGAGCCAGGACTAAGCCCTGAGCACTGCCAAGTGTGCACCTACCCCTCCACATACACAAAAATACTCTTAAAAGAAGACAGGGGAAAAGCTCCTTGACAAGGGTCATCCAAGCATTGTACAAAAGCAAAAACAAATGGAATGAAAAGTTCAGATTAGAACACTCTGGAACCAGGAGATAGCATAACAGACTGAGCCATGCTTGGCATGCAGGAGGCCTGTGTTCCATCTCCAGCACTGCCAGGGGTGGCCCAGACCCTGAGCCCTGCTGGATGTGATCCAGAAACAACAAAAAAAGCTTCTTCACAGCTAAGGAAACCACCAACAAAACAAAAAGACTCCGTAGGGAATAAAAGGAAATATTTGCAAGTCAGCTATATGACAATGGATATTATATAATATCCAAAATATATAAAGAACTCACAAAATTCACCAAAAAACAACATAAGGAGCGATAGCACAGCGGTAGGGCGTTTGCCTTGCACGCAGCCAACATGGCCGACCCGAGTTCGATTCCTCCGCCCCTCTCAGAGCACCCGGCAAGCTACCGAGAGCATCTCGCCCGCACGGCAGAGCCTGGCAAGCCACCCGTGATGTATTCGATATGCCAAACACAGTAACAACAAAGTCTCCAATGGAGACATTACTGGGCCCGCTCGAGCAAATCGATGAACAACGAGAGGGGAAAAAAAAGAAAGAAAAGAAAAAAAGAAAAAAGACCTGCCTTTAAAATAAGTCCAAAGGGCGGGGGCCTGGGGACAGTGCTGCAGACTAGTGTGTGTTTTGCATGCATGAGGTCCAGTTTTAATTTCCAGTACTTCATAGCCCCCCAAGTACTGAGCAAGAAGTAGTCCCTGAGTACTGCTGGGTGTGGCGCAAAAATTAAAAAAAAAAAACTTAAATTTTCTGTTTTGGAGCCACACTTGAAGGTGCTCAGGGGTTTTTTTGACTTGGTGCTCAGGGGACCTCAAGGTGCAGGGGATCAAATTTGGGCCTCCCCAGCTTGCTGTGTCATCCCGATGTTCCTTGCTTTCCGTTTTCAGTTGTTTCAGTATGTCAGTTATATCAACAAACTGAAAAGGAATTCATCAAGTACTTTGATCATCTAGCTAAACTGCCAAGATTCACAGCTTTTCTCCCTTCACTTTTTTTTGGGGGGGTCACTCCTGGCTCTGCACTCAGGAATTACCCCTGATGGTGCTCAGGGGACCATATGGGATGCTGGGAATCGAACCCAGTTCAGCCGCATGCAATGCAAACGCCCTACCCGCTGTGCTATCGCTCCAGCCCCATGCCTTCACTCTCTATCTGCCAAAATTCAGAGTTTGGGTGTACATGTTTGTATATAGTCATATAAGCACAGGTGCCAACCTCTCCTGGCACCTCCCCTGACACTGAAGGATTTCTGGGACCCAAGCCTGCCCTTACCCATCTTCCATCAGAAACTGGCGGAAGAAGTCATTGGCAGCCAGCTTAATGGCCTTCTCTGGAGTCACCAAGGTCAGATTCACTGCAGCCCCTGGGAGGGAAAAATGAAGACGAAGCACTAAGGCCCTGGGCAGGAGCACCGATCCTCTGTGTTCTAGCAATGCAGAGTCTGGTGTCACTGTGTCACCTCTCTGTGGCCCCTGGGATGCTCACCTCGGTACATGCCAAAGAATCCCTCTGCCCGCGCCGTCTTCATCAGGCAATCGACCCTGGAAGCAAAGGCCAGGAACGGAGGTGGTGGTGAGAAGGGAACTGCATGGCATCTCCTCCCTCCCTGCACTGTGGGGTACACACCAGGCAGCCATTTGCCCCAAATCTACTTTAATACATGCACTCCCTAAAGAAACTGGGGAAAGGGGCCCGAGACGGCTCTGCAGGCTGACCGCATCCTTCGCACGTGGGAGGCAGGATCTGATGCCCAGCACCACAGGCCCCTGAGCGACTCCCAAGCACAAAGCTGGAAGGAGCCTCCCAGTGCCACCAGTGTGTCCCCAAAACCCAAATAAAAAGAAACCGTGGAAGGACTAGCTTCCATAGCCCTCCCCCCGGGTCCCTGCCGCCCTGCGCCCCTCGATCCCATGCCCACCTCCCCAGCACCTACATTCCTTTGTAGACATCTTTTCCTTGCTGGTTCTGCAGTCGAGTCTTGGCCAAGTCGATGGGAAACACACAGGTCACCCCCACGAGCCCCGCCACACCGCCATTGATGAGCTTTGCTGCAATACTGGACCGTGAAGAGGGAGGCCGGCAGGGAGGGAGAGAGACTTAGGGAACATGCGGGAGAGAGAACAGGACTCAAGAGTGCCGGGATGGACCCCCAGGTGTCCAGGAGCCTCTCCTCAGCCCAGAGTGGGAAGTTCCTGTCCGAGTCTCAGAACATGACTTTTTGCTCTAGTCGCTGCCAAAAACCTGTTTCTGGTTTGTAGCCAGATACAGAGAAGTTTTCAAGCAAACTACAGTTTTATTCCTGGTTTCAGGCTAGGCAGAACTCATTTAGAAGCATGGGACTTTGTTGTTGTTGTTGTTGTTGTTTTGGGTCACACCTGGCAATGCACAGGGGTTATTCCTGGCTCTGCACTCAGGAGTTACTCCTGGCAGTGCTCAGGGGACCATATGGGATGCTGGGAATCGAACCCGGGTTGGCTGCGTGCAAGGCAAACTCCCTACCCGCTATGCTATCTCTCCAGCCCCAGCATGGGACTTTTTGATCATGTTGAGTTAATCCTGTTGATTTAAGCAAATACATCTTTCTCCTTTTTTTCCCTCCGAGGTAAGACTCTCTGGAAGGGGCTTTGTGAAAATTAAATAAACTAATATATTTGGAGAGCCCGGCAAGGTACCGAGGGTATCTCGCCAGCTACCCATGAGGTATTCAATATGCCAAACACAATAACAACATAGTCTTACAATGGAGACATTACTGGGCCCACTGGAACAAATCGATGAACAACGGGGAGGACAGTGCTACAGTGCTAATATATTTGGTAAACAGTAACTACTTTTTGTACAAGCATCTCTGTTTCTGTCAAGGAGGGCTTCTACTTAGCAGGGCTTCTACTTAACACAGCCAGAGCTGGGGGGCTGGGACGAACAAACTGACCAAAAGTCAGATCTCTCAGCATTTGAAAGATAGAAAATGAAGGTTTCTAGAGAACTGTTCTCATCTTCCCACTCAGAGGCAGACTCTGAACAAAATATTTGAAAGGAGATTACCTCGAAGAGTAAGAGGAGATAATAGATTTTCCCACAATTGCCCGAAAGCAAGGGACTATGTGACAACAAACTAAATTGTAACTTAAATTTTGCTTCTGAGAAGATGCAGTTGAAACAATTTGCAACTGACACTTGGCCAAACCCCTTTCTAATCACCCACCAATGCGGAGGGTGAGCCACACAGGCCTGCCCTGGCCAGCACCTCAGCTGCTCCTTGGGCATCTGCAAGAGAAACTGAGTAATGTGCTGTTGACACAGCAACCCCCCGCCCCCACCCCACCCCGGCCCGAAACAGAGCCGACAGGCTGTCCCATCCAGAGTGTACCTCAAATCCTGGCTGGACATTTTGCAGGCAGTGAGGGCTGCTGGTGGGCGCACTCCTCAGGGGAGGTGGTCCTGGGCTGGCTGTGACGGAAGAAGGGCCTGTGGCCTTGGTCGGAGCCTGCGTTGGCAGAGCCGAAGAGCACAGTTTTCAGAAGAGTCGGCTCCAAAGCACCTTCCTGGCCAGTCCTGCAAGCCCCTGGGCTGCAGTTTCTCTGTAAAGTTTTGGGGGCAGCGTGTCCCTCTGTGGGAGCCTGAGACAGTGGGAAAATCTGCCCTGAAAACTCTGCTTCCTGCCGGTCCCGGAACTTTCAGGCATGGAGAGTCAAGTCGGAAAAGGGGTCAGGAGAGGGGAACAGCCCAAACTCAATCTCCTAGAGAGGAGTTTGGTCACATTTTGGGGTGTCGCATGGGGAAGGGGCACGGGGCAGTAACAAGAGAAGTTGCTGCTGTGGAATGAGAGGGATTTGGGGGGGACTTTCTATGGTCTGGAGACCCTCCTAGTGGCTGGGAGAGGTTCCAAGGCTGGGCTGTACGCCTTGTATGTGGGAGCCCTGCATCTGTTTTGTTTCGTTTTGTCTTTTTTCTTTTTGAGTCACACCTGACGATGCTCAGGGGTTTCTCCTGGCTCTGCACTCAGGAATTACTCCTGGTTGTGCTTGGGGGACCCTATAGAATGCTGGGAATCGAACCAGGGTCATCCGTGTGCAAGGCAAACGCCCTACCCGCTGTGCTATTGCTCCAGCCCGGGAGCCCTGGATTTCATCCTCCACCGAGCACAGTTCCCTGAGCACCACTGGGAGTGGCCCTACAACCAAATACCAAACAAAAGACGACAGACAAATCCTTGAAATGTTTTAAAGTTCCTTTCCAATTCTATGTTTGTTTGCTTTTCGGAGGGGAGTGTCGGGCCACACGCAGCAGTGCTCAGGGTTTACTCCTGGTTTTGTGCTCAGGGATCACTCCTGGTAATGCTTGGGGGACCATATGTGGTGTCAGGGAAGGAACCCGGTTAGCCATATTCAAGGCAAGCACCCTACTTATAGTAATATGTCTCTGGCCTCTCAACTAGAGTTTTGAGTAGCACGGTGACATGCTGGGACAGAACTATTCTTTTTCTTTTTAATTAAATTTTTTTATTAGTGAAACACCATGAGGTGCAGTTGTAGACTTACAAACTTTCGTGCTTGGGTTTTAGTTATACAATGATCGAGTACCCATCCCTCCACCAGTGCCCATTCTCCACCACCAATGATCCTAGTAGCCCTCCCACCCCCACACCCTATCCCCCCACCTCTGTGGCAGGTCATTCCCTTTTGCTCACTCTTTCCTTCAGGGTCTTGTAGTTTGCAATAGAGCATTGAGTGGCCGTAGTGTTTGGTCTATATTCTACTTTCAGCACACATCTTGCATACCGAGTGAGTCCTCCAAATGTCCTTTACTTGGTGTTCCCTTCTCTATCTGAGCTGCCTTTTTCCCCAGCATGTGCTGCCGGCTTCCAAGCCTTGGAGCAGACCTCCTGGTACTTATCTACTATTCTTGGGAGTTTGACTCCCATTTTGTTACTTTATCTTCCCCAGATGAGTGCAGTATTTCTATGTCTGTCCCTCTCTTTCTGGCTCATTTCACTTAGCATGATACTTTCCATGTAGAACCACTTGTATGTAAATTTCATGACTTAATCTTTTCTAACAGCTGCATAGTATTCCATTGTGTAGATGTACCAAAGTTTCTTTAACCAGTCATCTGTTCTCGGGCACTAGGGTTTTTTTTTTTTTCAAATTTTGGCTATTGTGAACAGTGCAGCAATGAACATAGAAAAGCAGATGTCATTTCGACTGTACTTTTTTGCCAGAACAAGAAACAACAGCAGGGACTAGTGACATAGGACAGTGGGTAAAGCACTTGCCTTGCACACAGTTGATGCTAATTCTCTCCTGAGCACCACCAGGTATGACCCCCAAACAAAAACAAAAGAGGGAGACAAAGAAAAAAAAGAAAGGGAAATGAAGCACTACATCGGGAAGAGAAATGAAAGATGAGCTCTATCCTTGTCTTGGGAGTCTGTGCCAATAAACACAACTGTCAGTGAAGTAGGTCATTATTTTTTAACTCACTAGAACTGGTGATTTTTTTAAAAAAAATTGGGGTCCATAGCTGGCAGTTCTCAGGGCTTACTCCTGGCCCGGTGCTCAAGGATCACACCTGTTGGTACTTGCGGGAACATACTGGGTGCCGGGAATTGACTCTGGTTAATGACATGCAAGGCAAATGCCCTACCTACTCTACCTACTGTACTATTGCTCCAGCCCCAATAAATTGTACATCTTGTCATGGAACTGAGTAAGTCCATTGGGGACTGGGTAGGAAGCTGGCAGTTCTTAGGAATTAATATTCGCAACAACGCAAAACCAAACGAAGAAAAAAACAAAAACTAACTCAACCATGTGCCTTTAAAAGTTGGATGTGGTGGGAAAATGTCAGGATTTTAAAGTGTGTTGGCTGTTGTAAAAACAAACAAAAAATAGAAAGGAATTAAACAAAAAAAATAGAACCGTAAAAAGGGAGGAAAGGAAAAATAAAGTAAAAAAGTGTGTTGGCTGTTGTTTGAGAGATTGATATATTGTTATGAGAGAAAGATATGCTGTAATTCCAGGTACCTTAACAATTGATACGAAACAATAGGATATATATGAACATCTTTTTCCTGTTTGGAAAAAGAGCCATATGTGGTGCTGGGGATCAAACGAGTTGGCTGCATGTTAAGGCAAATGTCTTACTATCTCTCCAGCACCCCGCTTTTTTTTTTAATGTAGGAGTACTGCTATTTATTCAGCTACATTGATTAGGCTGATTGAATTGGGCATGAACTCCATCTTACTTTTTTTTTTCATTTTTTATAATTTTATTTATTGAATCATCGTGAGAGCAGTTACAAAGCTTTCGGGCCTAAGTCTTGGTCATACAATGAAACACCCATACCTTCACCAGTGCCCATTCTCTACCACCAAAAACCCCAGTATACCCCCATCCCACACCCTCCCTCTGCCTGTGGGGCAGATGATTTCCACATTACTCACTCTCTACTTTGATCACATTCAAGATTCTGACACCAGACCCACCATTATTATTTGGAATTTTACCCCAACACTCAGATCTGCCGAAAAGGCAACAGTAGACAATTTGTTTTCTATTGCTGGCTATGAATAACATATGATGTTGCGCGGCTGCTGTAGTGGCCGCACGATTTTGAAATTCTGAAACCCCAAGAATTAAATCTGGAGGGATTTCTGCCAAAAGCTGCTGGTTTCGAGATTTGTTTCTGAGTCTCTGGGATCATGGCTGTTAAGCAGCTTGATCAGGAGCCAGAGAGGCCGTTCGTGGGTGGTGACTCTGGGTCTCATTAGGACCCGGAGGAAAGGGCTGGCTCTACCCCCATCCCATGAGGCCCCATGTGTCTCATCACTGCGGGCCCAAACCTGACTGTCCAGTGGCCTCTGGAGGATGGTGGCCACCGGGCCGCCAGGGGAACAGACCAAGGCACGAAACCTATTCCCACCTGGGTTGGCCCAGCGCTGGTAACCTACTGCAGGGACCAGACACATTTCTACCAAAAGCCGTTGGGTTTTGAGATTTGTCAGGAGTACTGTTCTTTATTCAGCCATTGATTAAGCTGATTGAATTGGGCATGAACTCCACGTTAGTTTTTTTTTTTAATTGACTCTCCGTGAGATACAGTTACAAAGCTCTCATGTCCGAGACTCAGCCGTACAATGATTGAACACCTATTCCTCCACCAAGTCACACTTTCCACCACCAGCGTCCCCAGTATATCCCACCCCATCCCAGTCCTCGCCCTGCCTCCATGGCAGACAATTTCCCCAGTACTCTCTCTCTACTTTTGGGCATTATGTTTTGCTCGAATTTTCCCACCACCACTCAAGCCTGCCTGCCAGGGGCAGATGCTAGATCATCTGCTGTCCCTTGCTCATTTTGACTATCTTGGGTGCCGTGGCCACGTGCTTCTGGGATCCTAGATTGTAAATGGTTGGGTTCCGGAGACATTTCTGTAGGGCACTAATCCATCTTGGGATTCAATTGGGCGTCTCTGGGCCAGGGCTGTTGGTGCACTAAGATGACACCAGGAGGCACATTGTGGGTATGATAGTCAGACCAACAAGCAGGCAGGGAGCTGGGGAGGGACAGTCCATTGCCTCTGCTGCCATGTGGCATGGAGATCTAATCCTGGACCTGCATACCTGGGCCTTGCTTGTGGAAGCTCATGGTGACCGGAATTCCATCTAGAGCAGGCAGAGAGTGCATACCTGCTCCATTTGGGGTGCCCCGGTGAAAATGGCTCGGTATGGAGCCTGGAGAGATCTCCGGCTCTGTGGTGCCTTCTGGGACTGGCTGCTGTGTCTCTGGACCAGGGCTGTTGGTGCACTAAGATGGCGCCCGGAGGCACATTGTGGGGGTAACAACCAGGCTGATAAGTGGGCAGAGAGCCATGAAGGGACAGCCTGGCACCTCTGCCTCCACGCAACATGGACATTTAGTTCTGAAATCTGCATACCTGGGCCTTGCTTGTGGAAGCTCCTGGTTGCTGGGATTCCATCTGGAGCAGGCAACCAACCATCCCATCTTTTTTGTTTGTTTGTTTTTCTTTTTTTTTTTTTGCTTTTTGGGTCACACCCAGCAGTGCTCAGGAGTTATTCCTGGTCCATGCACTCAGGAATTGCTCCTGGCTGTGCTCAGGGGACCATATGGGGTGCTGAGAATCGAACCTGTGTTGGCCATGTTGGCTGCGTGCAAGGCAAACGCCCTACCCGCTGCGCTATCTCTCTAGCCCCAACCATCCCATCTTTTATGTTTGTTTTTGGGCCACATTCAGTGGTGTATGTGTGTGCTGTGGGGGTAGGGTGGTGCTGGTGAGAGTGATTGGAGCCAGGAGTCCCTTATTGCGCAGCATACTCTCAGCCCTTCAAACCATCTTCCCAACCCCAGGAAACACTTTTTGTTTGAAGTCAGAAAACCAAAGTAATTGAGAATCTTAGTGCCAGAGAGTTCGCAGAGGGATTAAGGCACATGCTTTGCATGGTGTCTGACTCTGTCCAATCCTGA